TAATCCCATAACGTTTTTTTTTTTTTTTTTATTTTCATCGCACACACGCACTTACATACACGTTTTATTGACATATCATGTGATTGTACATTGTATTGATATTTTCCAAGCGTATCCGTTTGTAATACGAACTTATTACGCGTATATGTGATCGACGAGCGAAATGAAAAACAAAAAAAATATTAACACTATTGTACGACGATTACGATTATTATAAGTTTTAATTTACTTATGTATGAAAAAAACAAATCAACGTGTGTGCATTTGGCGACTCGTAATATTATTATTGTAATCGCGTTGATTGTGTGAAAATTTATATAGAATCGCGAAGAAAAAAGAAGCTTTAAAATTGTAATTTATAATAATGGAGCACGCTCGAATCTTGTGTTTTATTTATTATGATTTTTTTTTTTCGAATCAGTATTGATTGATTATTTGAGTACAAATTATATGAATAACTGTTAGGATTATCGTATTATGATAATGATTATATACAACATACATGTATCTTTTGTTATACCAAAAAAGTGTATATTTATTTTTTAATAAAAAGTAGGAGTGGACGTGGCAATAATAATCATGACCATGACTATATGATGATAATGATAACAACACGAGTAAAGGAAAAAAATAAGTAACATCAACAAAAGAAAGAAAGAAACAAAAAAGAAAGAAAAAAAAAATTAACTGAAAATCTCAAGCCACCGTCCACTCAGTTGTAAAGGTAAACAATCGTCTATCGACTTTATTTGCATTATCTCTACTCCTCTCCTTTCTCCCAGTCTATTATGATCCTTTTTTTTTTGACAGGAGCAGCAAGACAAGACGATAATATATGGGGTAAGAAATCGACTCTCCAGCCAATTGCCAATCGTCGTGAAAAGCCACGACGTTGATTAATTAATTATATTATCGAGAGCCCCCGCGATTATATTCCAATGCACGCGAAAATTCTCTCGAGACGCTGACTGTAAGTAATAATATATACGGAGATGGTGGAGTCATGGCTGCTTTGCGCGCGGCGATAAGAATCTGCACTTCGGGCGCTTTCCCGCTACATCGTATAGACAGCAGCAGCAGCGGGGCAACCCACATCTTTCTTTCTTTCTTTCTCCCGGTCGTGTGTGCGCGTATTAAAACGCATCCCACAATTCCGAAACGATCCCGTAACGGCGACGATAATCCAGGCCTCGGTTTATATACAAACGGTCGAAGGCTTAGAAAGTATCCACACACACACACACACACATGCACACACCGAATCCAGCGCAATGTAACGCGCGGAAATTGTGCCAGTGTGTGTGTGTGTGTGTGTGCCTTAGAACACGTATATGTATGCAATTGCGCAGTTATAATTTTCCGCGCGCGCGTCTTTCCCGCGAGCGAACGTCCCATATGGCAGGAGAATTCGACAAAGGAAAAATCGAGAAATCGATGCAAAAAAAAAAAAAAAAAACAACAACAAACGAAAGGAGCATGGAAAAATTATGAATCTCGAGCGAGACGCGCGGCTGCGATGGCGATTATTGCGCGTCTCGTGGTGTTGTTATTGCGCACCACGCGACACACGCCAAAACGTCAAAATCGACTTTCCCGAAAAAAATAGAATCACAACATGGCGCGTCTGCGCAGCAGCAGCAGCAGCAGCAGCTGGTAAAAACTTCTTTATCGAGCAGACGGCTGCTGCACTGCAGGTAGCAGCAACACCACACGGCACACAGTACTGTGTCAGTCGGGGACGACAGATCCCAAAATACGTATAGAATGTCAAATTTCGTTTGACGTCGTTGTCCGGAATATCGTAATCCACGGACATGGCCTGGCTGTCGGATCTGGCCGGCAAGGCCGAGGAGATGCTCAACAACATCGACAAGACGACCGCCGCGGTGCTGAAGAAGGACGACGGCACCCACGGCAGGACGCACTTTCTCAGCCGCGACGATGACAGCTGCTCGGTCGAGGTTAGATCACTGCCGCCCTCCGATACCGATCAGGCGATTGCCAATGAATTCATAAGGGATGCGGGCGATAGGTAAAGGCCTATAACCGATGCGTAATTACGATCGATTTCTTATGATTTTCGATCAGAGAGATCACGAATGGTGTACGTTTTATGCCCATAGGTTCGCACACTTGAAGTCGCCTTACTCCAGCAAAACAACTATATCTGCGCCAACTACCCCTTCGCACGGGGATAAGTCGATGAAGGTACAGGTCGATTCGTTCGCGTGGCTGGATGAAGCCAAGAATTCAACCACCATGCCACAGAGTACGGTACATTTTGTCAACGAAGAGAAGAAGCACTCGTACGATAATGACATTTCTAGAGATTATAATAAGCTTGACGCTGACAGTATTAGTCAAAACAACGTAGTAGGTCAGTGGTAACTTTGCTAATTTGGAAGTATGTACCATGTACTTGATGTAATCATTTCTCATTCATTCGCAGATTATGAATTGGATCCTAATTTTAATTTTACATTGAACACTAAAATAGCTTCAGCTGTAGCTGAAAAGGAGCAGCAGCTGAAATCAGAGTTTGCCAAGGAAATAGAATCTCTCAATGAAAAAGTAAACTCTCTAACAACTGAAAAGATGAACTCAGAAAGAGAAATATCAAATTTAAATGCCATTATAGAGAGAACCAGATCTGAGTTAAAATCTGTTGAATCAGAGCTTGATCAACATAGAGCAAGAGCTATGAAAACTTTACAAGAGCGGGATAAATTGATTTTAGAACTGCGTAATAATTCCAGTTCTAGTCAAGAAATGGATGATACAAGTGTATTGGTAGAATTAGATCAACTTAGGTACTAAATTATTTGATAATTTTGCTCAATAATTATGTATCAAATTTCTAAAATATTCTTATATTTAGGCAAGAACGTGAAACTTTACGAGAAGAAAATCGGCAGGTCCGAGAAAAATTGCGTCTTGCTAGACAAGAAGCTATCGATGCTGATTTGAATGCTGAAAAAATTAGACAAAGAGCAGTGGAAGCTAGTATTCAGGCTAAAGAAGCAGTTGCAAGCGAAAGAAGAAAAAGATTAGATGCAGAAGAAGATGCAAAACTAAGGAGTGAGGTAATAGGGATTGATCAAATGTATTTGAGCTGCTGTTATAATTGTGTGCATAAAATGCTTTATAAAATGTAAATACAAATTACAGGAAACACGATCGTTGAGAGAAGAATTAACACTTCGTCAGACTACATTTTCTGCTAAACTACAAAAACAGGAAGCAGAAATTTCAAGGCTCAGAGCTCAGTTCTCAGCAGCTGTTTCACCTAGCGCAGAAGCTGAGGCAAGACTTTCAAGCTTAACAAGAACACTAGTTTTAAAACAACAAGAAGTAGAACATTTGACTACAGATAGAAATGCTCTCAGGCTACAATTAGAAAGATTGGAGGTAAATAATAATTCATCATTCAAAATTACAAAGTTTTTTACAGACAAACATGGTTTATTTGTAGCATGAATATCAAAACTGGAAGAAAAATGCTGCATTCAATAGTGTGAACGATACAGATGATGCCAAAGCTCTTTTGCCCAGTTTTCTTGTTGAGAGTCCTTTTGACACTGGTGTCACAAGACGTGTTAAGAGAGCTTACACATCATTAGATTCACTGGGAATAAGGATAGGAGTTTTTCTAAGAAGATATCCTCTAGTGAGAATTTTAGTATTATTATACATAGTGAGTGGAGCATTTATCATTAATCATCATTGTGAATTCAACTTTGCTAGCTTTTAATCCTATGTTTTATCTAATTTCAGGTGGTTTTAAATTTATGGGTTCTGTTTTTGCTGTTTTCTCAGTCCCCAGACGCTCGATAAAATCCGAGATTCATTTATACATAGATAAATTTTTATGAATTTTTATATAGAAAATTATATTTTGTAAAAAGCAAATTTTTGATAATCAATTATATAATTTTAGAAATCATGTTTTGTTCATAATGTACTCTAGCATCGTTTTACACGCTTGAAGCTAAATGATTACGGTATAAAATAATTTTAATAATAATTTGTAAAATTTGTACACGGAGTGGAGTGTATCAAATGGCTCAAATAACTCATCATATTTCTGCAATACTCCAACAAACAAAGTCTCTTGTGTTAAATACTCATTTCAAATATCGATCTTTTAAAACAAATAGAGTCGAGATTTTACCATGGCATTTCTCTCTCGAGTACGCATTAAACAAGCAATCTTTTTACCTCAAACTCATGCATATTCATGATGATTCTCCCATTTGCGGGTATCTTATGCGTGAATTTTAATTTGCCGCGCGCAAAGAGTCAAGGCTATTCGTGTTCTGCAGACTGCAGCTAGCTTGTCCAGGTTATGTTTGCGCTCCGCAACAGTTCGCAAATTATTATGCGTATGTTCGAAGCTCCTTATCTGCATTGATGCGGCGTTTGCTCCGTAATCGTTTAAATTGATTTGCATGAATGATAACAAAATAGCGAGCATCGACGAGTCGACTCGAAGTGTTCGTCTTAGGTTCGTCATCGAGATTTTCAGCTTTTCTTTGCATTTTTTTTCGCGTTCAAACGTTGCACGAATTCGCGTGCAGCGAAGCTCTTGTATATCCTGTGTGTACTTTATCGAATCCTTTTTTTTTGCAGTTTTCTCGTACACGGCGCTGGAAAACTACATGCAGTCATGATGAGCAGCAAAGTGACGTTTTGAAAGTACTTGTCTCCTGTGTTGTATTGTGATTCCGTGAATCATGTTTAGGCGGGTGAGAAATTTTTTTTACAACCATAGGCGCAAGTTTCTTTTCGGTGGTGTGTTTTTTGGCACCCTCATAGTATTGGCTCGCTATGCTCGGGGAAAACTACGAGATTGGCAGGAGAAGGAAGTCAACGAGCTGCTAGAGAGGAGCCGAAAACGTCAACACTTCGAGAGCACCGAAAGAACGTGTGATCAAACAGTGTTAAAATTGTCTACTAATTTAAGATCAGCTATTACTAAGTGTCTTAATTGTGAAAAAATAGTGAACGAACTGAGAGAGGGAACAGCTGCGAATAAAATTGCAGCATGGAATACTTTGAAAAACCTGGCCATAACAAAGTCTGCTACCATCATATATTCGTACACAATGCTTGTGATAACTTTGAGGATACAATTAAATATATTAGGTGGCTATATGCTTAAAGATTCTAAAATTCCAGAGGATTCTGTACAGGATCATGATAGAATAGACGATGAGATGAGAGAAAAATATTTGTCGTTGTGCAGTTATTTGATGGACGATGGAGTGAAGAAGCTTGCCAAACTCATTCAAATGAGAGTTGAAGAAATCACATCTACTTATTCACTTTCTGACAAATTGCATCTGCGCGACGTACAGCACATCTATTGGGCATTAACTTCTACAATATCAGCAGTAGAAAAACAAGATCCTGTAAAAAATTCTGCTGCTTACATTATTTCTTCTGAATTTATTATGAACAATCATTCCAATAAACCACTAAGTAAAATTCTTGACCAAACTCTTGATTTATTGGAAAGTCAAGAAGTACAAGATTTAATGCAAAATAACTTGAGAAGTGGTTTTGCCTTATTAATAGACAGATTGTCTGAATACTTCAATGGAGAGAATGACGTTACGAATCAAGATAATGTATTTGTAAATTTAAATGCAGTGTCAATGCCAGTAGCCAAAATAATTCCTATACTAAATGGACAAGTGCCAGAGAATCCTACGCCAGGTGATTTATCATCTGATTGGCTGCAAAGACTGTTACTCAGTGAAGAATTAAAAGCTCTAGGAGCCAATATTTATGAAGCTTTTTGTTATTAATTATTGTATGTACAATTTTTGTTTTGTTTAATGATAAATTTCTATGTAGCAACCGATAAAGGATAAGATAAATTTTGTTATTTAATTGAAGGTAAAGGTGTTAAGTGTTTCATAATAAGTTTGTAAATGCAAATAATTTTTCGCATAAATCAGGTTCAAATATAGATAATTTTTAATAAAAAAAATTCTGTTTCATTTAGATTACATATTTTTTCTGGGTTTCATTTTAAAAATATTGATTGTAAGGTAAATATTATAAAGCTAATAGCACAATAATTCAATGATTTGACAATTATAATGTAATATATCAGGGAATCTGTCACCGATGGAAAAAAATTCATTCTCATCTCAGTCTTCATATTTATATACTATAGATATAATTGGAAAAATCATCGAGCATCTGGTTCCCAGTGAGTGGACCTAATTATCAATGTTACTTTTGCACCACCATGCCTAACAATATCTTCGAGAACAGCCGCTGCATCTAACATGAATGAACAAAAATGGTCCATTGCTTATACTGATGCTGTTCATATAATTCATGATCGTCAACATTTTACTTTTAATAATTATTATTATTTTAAACTTCATATACTATTATTATTTCTTAATTGTGTTTAAATTGTTTTCTATATTTTTTATTAAAGATATTTTTGACTCATAAACGTTAAAAGTGTATCAACACTAGAGACAAAAATTTAATTTTGCTTCAGTAAACACAAGTAATGCATTATAATTAAATCATTTCGGAAAAAACTTTAATTCATTTTTACAATCATAGGTGTGTGTGTGTGTGTGAAATACGTATAAAATATTAACGTATTGTTTTTACGACGTTTACGGCTAGTATTTTTCTAAATTATTTCATTACATATTTACGATCATTTACGATTCATGAAGAAAAATTTTTTCACTTCCTTTTTGCCTTTGCTTTAGTTTTTTTATTTGACAATGATCGTTGATATCGGCAAACCAAACAATTATGGCACCTGTCAAATATTTTGTCTTTAAGAATTTTCTTGCCTTTTTTTCTTTTTCTAGTCGAATTCGATGGTGGCCTAGATCTCTTTTTGCTCTCGATGCTGCGCGCATAATCTTTGCCGCCTTCGTGAACTATTATTTGTTGTTTAACCAAATTCCGTTGATCTCCAAACTTTTCTTCGTTTTTATCGCATGCCAAATCTATGCGAACTTCATTGAGTGTCGTTTGGTGGTTGATTAAATTTCTTGGTTCATCGATCTTTGGCTCACTTATTTCGCTTGCGTAATCTTTGCGACTTTCGTTTACAGCTTCGTGTGTCTTGAGGTGCGAGATCAAGCTCGACCTGCGTCCAAATTTCTTTTCGCACGTGTCGCATTGATAATATTTGCGAACAGCATGAACTGTCTTTTGATGTCTCATCAATTTTGATTTTAATTCAAATTTCTTCTTGCAAGTTTCACATGTCAAATCTCTGCGACCTTCGTGGACTAAACTTTGGTGTCTTATCAAATTACACTTTAGTCCAAATTGTTGCTCGCACTTGTCACATGGGTAATCTTTTCGTCCTTCATGGACTATACTTTGGTGCCTCAACAAATCTGATTTACGTGTAAATTTTCTCTCGCACCTATCGCATATGAAATCTTTCCTACCTTCGTGCACTGTCTTTTGATGGAAAAGTAAATGTTGTTTATGTCCAAATTTCTTCTCGCAATCGTTGCATGCGAAATCCTTTCGACCTTCATGTACTGTCCTTTGGTGCACAAGTAAAGTCGATTTTTGTCCAAATTTCTTATCGCATTTATCGCATGCGTAATCTTTGCGACGTTCGTGTACTGTCTTTTGGTGCCGAAACAAATCTATTTTTTGTCCAAATTTCTTCTCACATTGGTCGCATGCGTAGTCTTTGCGACCTTCGTGAACTGTCTTCTGGTGGTATAGTAAATGCGATTTTTTTCCAAATTTTTTCTCGCACTCATTACAGGCAAAATCTTTGTGACCTTCGTGGACTATCTTTTGATGTTTTATCAAATTGCTTTGAGTCCCGAATTTCTGCTCGCACCTGTCACATGCGAAATCCTTTCGACCTTCATGTACTGTCCTTTGGTGCTTTAACAAATCCGATTTTTGTCCAAATTTCTTCTCGCATTGGTCACATGCGAAATTTTTGCGATTATTCTGAACTTTGTTTCGGTGTGATTTCATGCTGTTTTCTTGTGCAAATGACTCTTCACAAATATCACCATCTAACCCGGATTCCTTCTAACTTTTATTCATTTTGGTGCCTAAAATAAACGATGGATCTTTCTATTTAGTGCCACGAAAATTTAATGAATAAAATTTATCTTACGGTGTGACTTTGTTTCACGGGTGTGATGTTATGGAAATATAACATTCAAACTAATTTATATTCACTGTAAACACAATCAGTGTGTCGAGGGACGATGTCGAAATCGTTTATAGTCATATTGTTTACAATCGATGTACCGATTCATCTGTTTTTACTTCATTATCCTTACGTTATTTACAACTAATAAAGTTTTAACTTGGTGTCAATTCCTTCGAGGTCATTTTTTCAGTCCTGGTTGCAAGAAATTTGCATGGATATCCGCGTAGATTATCCACGTGGATTAGCTATCCATATGAGTATGAGACACGGATACCACGCAGATCGGACAACGATTCCGCTATTACACATAGATACCAGATTGAAAAAAATTCTCGAAGTACCCGTGAGGCTTTGTTGGTGAATTGCCGTTGATTTTAACTTCTCCACATTGACAATTGATCATCGGGGATTAATTAATTATCAACGTAGAAAAGTTAAAATCAACGACGATTTACTGACAAAGCCTCGTTGACAAAGAGTTGGAGAACCACTGACTTGGAATTTTTATCAGTACGATCCACTTGGTATTAATATGTGATCTACGCGGAATCTTTGTTCGATCTGCGTGGTATCCATGTCTAATCCTTGTGGATAGCTAATCCAAGCGGATATCCATGCAACTTTTTACAAGTAGGGTCTCATAATGTACTTAAAAAAGTAGTTCAGTTTTTAAAATAATGAACATATATTATGACTAATCTCATGACAATCCTAACTAACTAGAACTTTTTTCAGATTTTCTGGACCCACCTCACCCGCAACTTTTAGTTTCCATATCGAGGAACGAGCGTTTTGAGAAATCTATCGAAAGCAGCTGTTTCGTCGATTTTAACAACGAATATTAAATATACAAAAAATGTTTTCCCTTCAAAATTAATTTTTCCAGAATTTAAAGATCATCGTGCTAATATTCCAATTGATTGTACACCGAAGTATCGTTAATTTTTTTTTGTTTCAGCTGCAGCGTTATATTAAAATGCTCGTTTATAAGCGGTGACAAATAGCCTTAGCCTCTGATTTTCACGTAAATTACACATTCATTCTTATATTGAATGAAAAGATTTTGTGTTATCAACAGTTTGAATGCCACATGCCAAACAGTATCATCACTCTTTTGCTTCCTCACAGAAGGAGCTTTGTGATGGTTATAAAATCGAGTTTGGTAAATTTTCGTGTGTTATGTATGTCAAGTATATATTTTTAAGCTAGATCAAATTTGTTACTGATATTTGTATGTATGTGTGTGTGTCTATCTGTCTGTCTGTGTGGATGTATATACGTATGGGGAACGAGTGGAGGAGATAACGTAGGACGGTAAATCTTATTGAAATGAACTTCATTATTTGTCGATTGGGTTAAGAATGTAGCTCAAAAAAGTTTAATTTCTATACGTGCAATATTTTGTAAGTTATTAAGATTTTTAATTTTTTTAAATTTTTTGGAAAGATGTTGAGATTCATTGAAGCTTTTGAGCACAGATTTTGAAAGACGAACAGTTAACCTTCAACTTAAGACCAAAAGCGATTGATCGCGCTTTATATCGTGAAAATAAAAATGTTACTTTATTTCACTTTTCCAATTTTTTTAAAATTTTTCCAAAGTTCAAGTAGTTTAAGTGGTTGAAATATGTGAGTAGGGATTTTCAAAACATCACCAAAAATTAAAGCCCCATACCATAGAATTAAAAAACAACGCAAAATTGAATCTTTAAAAACCTCATCAATGGGAAGGGTTACATCGTAAAAATGTAAATGTTTCATTCTCAAAAATCAAATTATAAACTTTCACACAGTTTAAATAGTTTTTGGAATATGTGAGTAGTGAATTTTAAATAAGAACAGCAAAAATTAGTATATTATTAATATATACATGTATTTACAAATAAAAGCACGAGCGATAATTCTTTTATGAGGAAGCTCTTTGTCATTATATTGGCAGTGGTTTTTCATAAATGAAACGTAAAAATAAAACAACAAAAAAATAAAGAAATTATCGTGACAATGTTTATTAGACTCGAATGCGAACAATTTCAAAACGGCAAGATGTGAGCCCTGAAAGTTCGCATAACAGCGACCTCAGTCACGTCTATGTTTTTTCTGCAATTCATTTGTATTATCTAATTTTTTCAATTAATTTTTTTTTTTGCAATAAGAAAAAGAAGCTAGCACAAAATAGAATTCAATTTACAAGTAATGGACAAATTTATAAAAATTATTGCATTCGTAGTATTGCGTGTTGGTAATTTTACGTTCCTTAAAGTACTAGTGTATATGTGGGTATAAACAACAGTAAACGTTGCAAACAATATTTTTATCAAAAATTAATTCTTTAGTCAAATAAACTTTATTTACTATAAAGCTAATCGGTGCATGTAATTGAAAAAATTTTGAGTCAGTCGTAAAAATACAAATTATTTATGCTTCGAAAAATTGATTATCATCTTACATGATATTATATGCAACTGCACATGCCTGCAATTCATAAAGAAGACGCGCGAGAAATTTCTTTACTTCCTTTTTGCCTTTGCTTTAGTTTTTTTATTTGACAATGATCGTTGATATCGGCAAACCAAACAATTATGGCACCTGTCAAATATTTTGTCTTTAAGAATTTTCTTGCCTTTTTTTCTTTTTTTAGTCGAATTCGATGAGGGCCTAGATCTCTTTTTGCTCTCGATGCTGCGCGCATAATCTTTACCGCCTTCGTGAACTATTATTTGTTGTTTAACCAAATTCCGTTGATCTCCAAATTTTTCTTCGTTTTTGTCGCATGCCAAATCTATGCGAACTTCATTGAGTGTCGTTTGGCGGTTGATTACATTTCTTGGTTCATCGATCTTTGGCTCACTTATTTCGCTTGCGTAATCTTTGCGACTTTCGTTTACAGCTTCGTGTGTCTTGAGGTGCGAGATCAAGCTCGACCTGCGTCCAAATTTCTTTTCGCACTTGTTGCATTGATAATATTTGCGAACAGCGTGAACTGTCTTTTGATGTCGCATCAATTTTGATTTTGATCCAAATTTTTTCTCGCAAATTTCACAAGTCAAATCTCTGCTACCTTCGTGGACTAAACTTTGGTGTCTTATCAAATTCCACTTCAGTCCAAATTTCTTCTCGCATTCGTCGCATGCGAAATCTTGGCGACCTTCGTGTACTGTTTTTTGATGAATGAGCAAAGAGAATTTTTTTCCAAACTTCTTTGTACACTGTTCACATGCAAAGTCTTTCTGACCTTCGTGTACTGTCCTTCGGTGATTTAACAAATCCAATTTTTGTCCAAATTTTTTCTTACATTTGTCGCATACAAAGTCTTTTCGACCTTCATGGACTGTTTTTTGGTGTCTGATCAAATTCGATTTATCTCCAAATTTCTTCTCGCATGTGTCACATATGTAATTTTTGCGACCCTCATGTACTGTCTTTTGATGTCTTATTAGTTTCGATTTTTGTCCAAATTTTTTCTCGCATTTGTCGCATGCGTAATCTCTGCGACTTTCGTGGACTATCTTTAGGTGGTTGATCAAATTCGATTTTTCTCCAAATTTCTTCTCACATTTGTCGCATACGAAATCTTTACGACCTTCATGGACTGTTTTTTGGTGTCTGATCAATATCGATTTTTCTCCAAATTTCTTCTCGCACTTATCACAAGTAAAATCTTTGCGACCTTCGTGGACTGTCCTTTGGTGTAAGAACAAATTCCGTTTTTGTGCAAATTTCTGCTCGCACTTATCGCATGCGAAATCTTTACGACCTTCATGGACTGTTTTTTGGTGTCTGATCAAATCGGATTTGATTCCAAATTTCTTTTCGCACCTATCACATGCGTAATCTCTGTGACCTTCATGGACTGTCTTTTGATGTCTGATCAATATCGATTTTTCTCCAAATTTTTTCTCGCACTTGTCACATGCGAAATCTTTTCGACCATCATGTACTGTCTTTTGATGTCTTATTAGTTTCGATTTTCGTCCAAATTTCTTCTCGCATTTGTCACATGCGAAATCTTTGCGATTATTCTGAACTTTGTTTCGGTCTAATTTCATGTTGTTTTCTTGTGCAAATGACTCTTCTCAAATATCACCATCGATTCCGGGTTCCTTCTTCCCTATCCACTTTGGTGCTTAAAATAAACAATGGATCTTTCTATTTAGTGCCACGAAAATTTAATGAATAAAATTTATCTTTCGGTGTGACTTCGTTTCACGGGTGTGATGTTATGGAAATATAACATTCAAACTAATTTATTTTCACTGTAAACACGATCAGTGTGTCGACGGACGATGTCGAAATCGTTTAAAATCATATTGTTTACGATTGAGGTACCGATTTATCTGCTTAGACATTATACTTACATTATTTAAAACTATTCAAAGTTTTAAGTTGGTGTCGATCCTTTCGGGGACTTTGTTCAGTCTCATAAAGTACTTCAAAAACTTTCGTTCTTAAAATTATGAATATGTTTCATGACTAATATTGTAACAATTTTAACAAAGTAGAATTTTTAAGATTTTCTCGACCCTTATACACCTAACACTTCACGGTGCCAAATATCCTAAGCTTTAAATATTCCCGTAAATTACACATTCGTTCTTATATTGAATAAAAAGATTTTGTGTTATTAACAGTTTGAATGACACTTGTCAAACAGTATTATCAATTTTTTATTTTTTTAATTTTTTTTTAGATTATTGTATTGATCGCATGAGCAAGTTATAACAAGTGTTTCAAATTGTAAATGTTCGAATCTGCGACTTTGTATATTCGCGCGTCTGTCCACTGGAACGCTAGAATTCCCATGCTTATACATACACGTTCCACTACTCTTCGGACCGGACAGAATTAGATTGGGTCTAGTGAACAGTTTTGAATTTTTATAGCCGCGCGCGATTTCGCTGGGAGTTACTCTCTCAGCCTCGTATGCGAACGAGAGTTATTTTATCGTTTTAAACTGCTGTACTATATTTAAGCATTACCAAAATCGTGAGTTAAGTGACAGTTGTACCTACGATTTACTTTTTTTGTGTCAATGCATAACAACAGTGCATAAATAAAACTGCTGTGTTATTATTTACGTGTCTAACTCTTTTTTTATTGGTGTGCAAATAAAGTAAGTGAAAATCAATTAACGAACAAATCAACTTTTTGTGCAAGTGCCCTCCACTAATTTATTTAGAGTGAGTTGTCAACTGTAAGTGTTTTGCGTAGTGATTACGCAAAAATAATTTCAACGTCCGATTCCGAAGACATGGATATGGATTTTTGCAATGGCCATCCCAACTCAGTAGACACGGTGAACTTTCAAGAAAACGTTAATTTGAGTTTCGAACAAGAGCGAAGAATATCACCCCAGCATATTACGTACGATATATCTGACGGTTTGGATTTTGAACAAGAGAGAACATTGCCATATCCATGCCCGTTCTTCCCGATCATTCGAATTTCAAACAAGAGATATTGTTTGCACCTCTGACCATAGTCGTCGACGTAGAAGAGGACGCCGATAGCTTGGCGGAATCGTTTTTCTTGGTCCTCCGTGACAAGTGTGAGTCAATGCTGGTCGTCGACCAAGATAAGAAGAGCCGGGAACCGCTACACTTATGTATTATACCGAGTCTCCTGCACCATGTGGCCAATGTAATCTTGAAAAATATAGATAATTCATTTCGCTTCTCTGGTTCCCGACGTATTGTTTATCATGATTATAAATCGTGCTACAATAATGAGGGTAAACTAAGATTAGCATCCGGCGTTTTGGCCGTCGTCAAACGTCTCGAAAAAGTAGACTACCAACTGGACCGATGGGACGCCCTGGCGATAATGAAATTCTTCGATAAGCACCGACTGTTCGCGAGGTCGGCGGAGCTCGATGGACGTTCGCGTCGCGCCGAGCATTGCGGTACCGCGACAAGGAGTTCGCAAAGAAGGCGAAAAGAGTAATGATCAATTCGAGATCGTCGCTGCGCGACTTGATTCGATCGCGACCCGCAGAGGCAAAAAAAGTAGTTACGTACGCGGACTATTAAAAGTTCGCGAGCCCGAAGAAGTCACTCAATCTCCCTAAAAAGCACAACGAGCTTTGCGTTGCGCATCTGTGCGAGAAACTATCGAGAGGATTTTTCCGGAGTTGGGCACTGGATAGTTTCTGGGAGCTGATTGGATACCGATTGCCGATTCTCTGCTGTGACACGATCATCGAGCAGCTGAACAGCGAAGATTTATATCGTATTTGCTTGGCAGCCACGGGTCATAGCTCGTGAGGGCTGTAAAAATATTTGTAGCATTTTTGAATGACTGATGTTATCGATGGTTTCAGATTTTTTATATTATTCAAATCAATTGAAAATAGTTAGCTTAGATTTTGCTAGCAACCCAATACCTCAACATAAAATTAAAAGTAACAATAAAAAAAGGACGCAAGGAGTAAAACGGACAGGACTGCAAAACAAAATTATTTAATAATCAAATGTTTTTTATTAAATATTTTTAGTATATCTCAATATGTTACTATATAATAATATTGACGATAATAAAATCATTTATTTTGTGTATAATTGTCAAAAAAATCACCAATTTTTTTTACGAACTCGTGTTTATAATAAAAAAATTGAAAATAAATTTTTTTACAATTTGCATCGATTTTCTTGTGATGATATATTTTCTAAGATATCTATGAGCTACGGCAAAAAGTCAAGCTGTTAAGAAAAAATTATGTAATTATCGTATATAGATAGCAAAAACTTTGTTCTTCTTTCATTGAAATCCCTGTATTTATAGGTACATTAACTCTATATATGGGTCAAAATAATACTTTTTTACAAAACCGTGCGCACGTATATCACCGATCTTGACGCGCTTTTGGTATGTTATAGTACATGGTAAAAAGGTCCCAAAAAAAAATTTTTAGACCCCCTCCCCCCTCCTACCCCCCACTTCCGGTATAAACGTCCATTTTCGATCTATATTTTTTCTGAGGACATGAAGCAAGTAAAAAATCTGAAAAAATTCATAAAAATACTTTTCCACAATCCAAACAACCTTGAATTTTTTCAGATTTTTTGAGTGCTTCAGGCCTTCAGATAAAATCATTGAAAATTTCAAAAATCGAGATACGGCGGTATGAGCCGATGTAGTACTCGGAAATTTTTTCAGTTATTTTTCGCATTAAAAAACATAACCTCAATTTTTTTCAGATTTTTTCAGATTACCTAACGCACCTTTTGAAGCCAAAAACCGATTTTTTTGACGAAAATAATTTTTTTAGGACAGTACGGAGCCTCGAAAAATCTGAAAAAAATTTTTTCTTGTTTTTTTCATCAAAATACGTAATCTCAAATTTTTTCAGATTTTTTAATTGAAGGCGATAGCTTCTAGGGCCGAAAAATGCTATTTTTAACAAAAAATGGTTCCTAGAACCCGATGGTTCCGGTGAAAAAATTTGAAAATATTTTTTTTGAATTCCTTGTCAAATTTTAATAAATTTTGACCGTTTCAAAAGTTCGATTGAAGCTTCCTAGCTCATTTTAGAGCAGGACAAAGATTAGTGCAAAATATCTGAAGACGTTTCTGAAGACATTAAGGAATGATAAAACTCGTTTGATGCTCTAAAATGAGCTAGGAAGCTTCAATCGAACTTTTGAAACGGTCAAAATTTATTAAAATTTGACAAGGAATTCAAAAAAAATATTTTCAAATTTTTTCACCGGAACCATCGGGTTCTAGGAACCATTTTTTGTTAAAAATAGCATTTTTCGGCCCTAGAAGCTATCGCCTTCAATTAAAAAATCTGAAAAAATTTGAGATTACGTATTTTGATGAAAAAAACAAGAAAAAATTTTTTTCAGATTTTTCGAGGCTCCGTACTGTCCTAAAAAAATTATTTTCGTCAAAAAAATCGGTTTTTGGCTTCAAAAGGTGCGTTAGGTAATCTGAAAAAATCTGAAAAAAATTGAGGTTATGTTTTTTAATGCGAAAAATAACTGAAAAAATTTCCGAGTACTACATCGGCTCATACCGCCGTATCTCGATTTTTGAAATTTTCAATAATTTTTTCTGAAGGCCTGAAGCACTCAAAAAATCTGAAAAAATTCAAGGTTGTTTGGATTGTGGAAAAGTATTTTTATGAATTTTTTCAGATTTTTTACTTGCTTCATGTCCTCAGAAAAAATATAGATCGAAAATGGACGTTTATACCGGAAGTGGGGGGTAGGAGGGGGGAGGGGGTCTAAAATTTTTTTTTGAGACCTTTTTACCATGTACTATAACATACCAAAAGCGCGTCAAGATCGGTGATATACGTGCGCACGGTTTTGTAAAAAAGTATTATTTTGACCCATATAATATAATCGTCAGTTCGTCGAGGAATTTTGCGCTCCTTTGTCCATTGTAGTATTGAAAAATCGCAATCAGTACCAAAAGGATCGCTAATGATCTGCCAATCGACCAAAAATTTTTATGTTGACAAGCGTACATGAAAGTGATTTTCAATATCTTTCCTAACGAGGCATCCGACTTGAAAGCAATATCTAATTATTTTTACTGAATTATTCATTTCCACTAGACTAAATACAGAAAGAAGTAGATTACTGATACATCTGTAGAAATGGAAAAAATACGAATATTCATAATTTTTTAAATAAACCTACACATGAGGTCCTTGGATTTTTATTGAAATTTTCATACGTCTTTGGGCATTTTAAATCACTACGGAAAATGCTCCTAGTATCGAAGCAAGCATCTTATTCAAGGAATTCCCCGTTATAAAAAATATAATACCCCAACATTGCACATAAAACATAGGCGTTAGATAAGAATACAGTTGGAGGTAAAACACAGTCATATTGACTAAATTTTTATTTTAAAAACTTGTAGTATTATTTTTTACACTTGTCGAGAAAAATATGCAAGAAGTGATGAGTTCATTTGTGAAATACAAGTTATTAAATGAAAAACTATTCAGTGCGCATGATTGAAAAATGTTGAGTCGTTCGTAATAATATTAAATTATTTATGGAAAAATAATTATCATCTTACATGATATTGTATGCAACTGTGCATGCCTAGGACCAATAAAGAGGAGAAATTTCTTCACTTCCTTTTTGTCTTTGCTTTAGTTTTTTTATTTGACAATGATCGTTGATATCGGCAAACCAAACAATTATGGCACCTGTCAGATATATTGTCTTTAAGAATTTTCTTGCCTTTTTTTCTTTTTCTAGTCGAATTCGGTGGTGGCCTGGATCTCTTTTTGCTCTCGATGCTGCGCGCATAATCTTCGACACCTTCGTGAACTATTATTTGTTGTTTAACCAAATTCCGTTGATCTCCAAACTTTTCTTCGTTTTTATCGCATGCCAAATCTATGCGAACTTCATTGAGTGTCGTTTGGTGGTTGATTAAATTTCTTGGTTCATCGATCTTTGGCTCACTTATTTCGCTTGCGTAATCTTTGCGACTTTCTTTTACAGCTTCGTGTGTCTTGAGGTGCGAGATCAAGCTCGACCTGCGTCCAAATTTCTTTTCGCACGTGTCGCATTGATAACATTCGCGAACAGCATGAACTGTCTTTTGATGTCTCATCAATTTTGATTTTAATTCAAATTTCTTCTTGCAAGTTTCACATGTCAAATCTCTGCGACCTTCCTGGACTAAACTTTGGTGCTTTGAACTTTTGTCGCATACAAATTCTTTTTGACCTTCATGAATTATCTTTTGATGCGTGAGTAAATTACTCTCGAATCCAAATTTTTTCTTGCACCTGTCATACGCGTAATCTTTCCGACCTCCATGCACCGTCTTTAGGTGGGTGAGTAAATTCGGGTTTCGCGTAAATTTCTTCTCGCACAGGTCGCATGCAAAATCTTTGCGACTTTCGTGGACTGTCCTTTGGTGCCTCGACAAAACTGATTTCGTTCCAAATTTTTTCTCGCATTTGTCGCACGTGTAATCTTTTCGACCGTCGTGTACTATCTTTAGGTGGTTGATCAAATTACATTTTAGTCCAAATTTTTTCTGGCATTTGTTACATGCGTAATCTTTACGACCTTCATGGACTGTTTTTTGGTGTTTGATCAATTCCGATTTTTCTCCAAATTTCTTCTCACATTTGTCGCACGTGTAATCTTTTCGACCGTCGTGTACTATCTTTAGGTGGTTGATCAAATTACATTTTAGTCCAAATTTTTTCTGGCATTTGTCACATGCGTAATCTTTACGACCTTCATGGACTATTTTTTGGTGTCTGATCAATTTCGATTTTTCTCCAAATTTCTTCTCACATTTGTCGCACGCGTAATCTTTTCGACCCTCGTGGACTAACTTTTGATGAATGATCAAATTCGATTTTTGGCCAAATTTTTGTTCGCATTTCTCGCATACGTAATCTTTACGACCTTCATGGACTGTTTTTTGGTGTTTGATCAATTCCGATTTTTCTCCAAATTTCTTCTCACATTTGTCGCATGCGAAATCTTTACGACCTTCGTGCACTGTCTTTTGATGTCTTATTAGTTTCGATTTTTGTCCAAATTTCTTTTCGCACTTGTCGCATCCGTAATCTTTGAGACCTTCATGCAGCGTCTTTTGATGTTCAATCAATGTCGATTTTTGTCCAAATTTCTTCTCGCACTTATCACAAGTAAAATCTTTGCGACCTTCGTGTATTGTCTTTTGATGGACAAACAAAGCCTGTTTATATCCAAATTTTTTTTCACAATTGTCGCATGCGAAATCTTTACGACCTTCATGGACTGTTTTTTGGTGTCTGATCAATATCGATTTTTCTCCAAATTTCTTCTCGCACTTATCACAAGCAAAATCTTTGCGACCTTCGTGGACTGTCCTTTGGTGTAAGAACAAACTCGGTTTTTGTGTAAATTTCTGCTCGCACTTATCGCATGCGAAATCTTTACGACCTTCATGGACTATTTTTTGATGTCTGATCAATATCGATTTTTCTCCATATTTCTTCTCGCACCTGTCACATGCAAAATCCTTCCGACCTTCGTGTACTGTTCTTTGGTGCTTCAACAAATCCGATTTATGTACAAATTTTTTCTCGCACTTGTCACATGCGAAATCTTTTCGACCTTCGTGGACTGTCTTTTGATGTCTTATTAGTTTCGATTTTCGTTCAAATTTCTTCTCGCATTTGTCACATGCGAAATCTTTGCGATTATTCTGAACTTTGTTTCGGTGTGATTTCATGCTGTTCTCTTGTGCAAATGATTCTTCACAAATATCACCATTTAACCCGGATTCCTTCTCTCTTTTATTCATTTTGGTGCCTAAAATAAACGATGGATCTTTCTATTTAGTACCACGAAAATTTAATGAATAAAATTTATCTTTCGATATGACTTTGTTGCACGGGTGTGATGTTTGGGAAATATAACACACAAACGAATTTATTTTCACTGTAAACACGATCAGTGTGTCGAGGGACGATGTCGAAATCGTTCATAATCATATTGATTACGATTGAGGTACTGGCTCATCTGTGTAAACATTGTTCTTACAATATTTAAAATGATCAAGAATAAAGTAAAAAAAGTTATGGCTGATTACGCGAAACGTCTAGTTTGCTTGATGTGTACAAAACGAAACTTTGAACGCATTTTTCTCTAAACGACCTATTTCAACTCTTTCAATTAGTCCGGAAAAAGATAAACATTTGAAAAGTTTTCAAAAATCATCCTTAAATTTTTTTTATGATGGTTAATGCACCTAGAAAACCGAAATTCTTCACAATTTTTCAGAAAACTCGTGCCAAAATCGTAAGAATTAAAAATATCAATTTTTTTGATATTTGTTCTCTAAAGAAAGTTGTAACGAATAATAAGACATTTAACGTGAGGATCGGACTTGTAGTTTTCTCTCAACCGTTGGCAAGAGCTAAAACGAGGATTTTAGCGAGTTACGTCTACAGAAAATCAAAATGGGTTTTGAGACCCACATACATTTATATTGCAGTTTAATATGTAAGAAAAATACCTAAAATGCTAAGAATGAATGAAATTTATAGTTTTCAAAGAAAACAAAATTCATAAATTGATATTTTTTACCATTTGTTATGGGGATGTTCCCTTGAAAATTAAATTTTTTTCATATATAATTACATTGGTCGCTAGAGCAAGTGATAATAATAAGTTTTTTATATTATAATTTTAAGCTTTCTGCTGCGTTTCCGTGCGAAAAATTATTTAGAGGATTATTTCTGGAGTTGGGTACATAACATATTTGCTTGGCTGCAGGTTGGTACTTTTTAATATCTGATGTCATTAATTGTTTTAGATTTTCTATATCCCTTAAATAAATTAATTAAAAATTAGCTTCGTTTTTGCGACCAATCATCATAAGTCAACATAATCTGAACAATAACAAAAAAGAAAAGGTATACGTTGTAAAAATTAAAGGGTACTGTAAAAGCAGAATCATTTATTAATCGAATATTTTTTATTAAATATTTTTAGTATATCTCAATAAGTTACTTTATAATAATATTTACGATATTACGATAATAACATCATTTATTTTATGTACAATCGTCAAAAAGTCACTAATTCGTTTACGAACTCGTGTGTATAATAAAGAATTGAAAATAAATTTTTTTACAACTTGCATCGATTTTCTTGCGATATATTTTCTAAGATATCTATAGGCTACAGCTAAAAGTCGAGCTATTACATTCCCGCGCACCACATTCTATTACGTTGACGGTAATGAACTATATCTGCGCGAGGAATTTTATCTACAAAATAAGTTAGACATATATTATGGAAATAAAGAAGAAAGAAGTGATTAATTAATTATAGAGCTTTTTTAAATTATATAATTATCGCATATAGATAGCAAAAACTTTTTTCTTCTTGTAGTGAAATCGCCTTATTACTATATATTATAATGTAATCGTCTGTTCGCCGTGGAATTTCTTTGTCCATTGTAGTATTGAAAAATCGAAATCAGCACAAAAAGAAAAAAAAAACATCGCCGCCTCCACGAGGAACAGAATTTCTTTATCGTATTTATATTAGATACGTAAATATTTATCAAAAGGTCAGTCGTCGAACGGAAGAACTTGGACTATACGTCGATGTACGCGAAGTATAGTGAGACGCGTCGCCGCCAGGTGGCACAAAGCAGATTTGTAATTCACGCAGATGAAATTCCCAAGTCTAACAGTTAAATCACATCTCTTCGCAGCTGTGATAAGAAATTTCTTGAATTTTTCCGGACAGGTGAATCTTTTCAGAGCTGCGAAGAGATGTGATTTAACTGTTAGACTTGAGGATTTCATCCCTACATCGTTACTATTTTTGTCAAATTTATCGTTCGCGATATAGTTAAAAAAACAAACTAACGTCCATATACTGCACTACTTAAACACAAATATAAATACAATCGTTCATCAATGAGTATTTTTCATCATCGCATCCTCACACAGTCGTTGGCCTCCTCTATTGCTCCGTGTCGGTATCGATAAATATTTAAATAAAACGCGTGTCGTACATATATCATATACTGATCGAGATCGAAACGTCAAAGCCACACACATACTGCATACACACACACACGTGCTCGTGCTATTTACGATGCCGGCTCGAGTGTGTGTGCTCGCCCGCATGCATGATTCAAAGATCCGAGCTAGGATTGCTGCGGCGCACGTAACGGTTAAAGTAATCGGGTCGCCAGCACTTGCAGCTACCGGGCACCAAGAACCAGTCGTAGTAGAGTCGGACCTGCAAAACCATCGAAGTGTAATGTATTACGGTGAGAACGAAAAAAAAAAAAAATCGTTGCCGCGTGCTATAAATAGCTGTATGTGCTATACCTGGAAGCAGCCCATGTCGTCCACGCCGTCGCAGTGATGTCCAGCCGGCGACGAGGACGAGGACGACGAGGACGATGAGGAGGAGGAGGAGGACGAAGAACCGCCACCGCTGCTGCGACCCTCGCTCTCGCCGGCTCGCTTCTGCAGGTACTGCTGGTAATTCTGGAAGTCGTGCACGGGCGGCGGCGAGCCGGCCACCGGATCCCTCGGCCCGGGGAATCGTCCGTTGTTGCTGCCCTGCTGCTGTTGTTGCTGCTGTTGTCCACTTCCACCGCCGTTGACTCCGTTTCCAGCCATCACGACCCCGTTACCGATTCCGCTCTCCTCGAGGAAGGTGTCCGGATAGAAGATCTCGGCGACGAGCAGCGAGGTCCAGCGCGGCGACGACAGACAGCCGCCGTCCAGATAGTGGCAGCGGGACTGCATGCAGCGCGTCACCTCGATGGTCTGCGTGAAGTAGCCCTCGTACGGGATCTGCACGACGTAGCGCCAGACGCCCTGGTAATTCTTGGCGAAGACGGGCGTGGCGTACTCGACCTTGGCCGGGCAGGGTGTCGGGGGCCCGGTGTACTCGCTCTTGCCGCCGCCGTCGACGATGACGTTGCTGCTGGCACCGCCGCCACCGACGCTGCTGGGCGTTCGCTGTCTGTACTCGAGATTGGGAGCGCCGGAGGAAATCGAGGGCGGATCGTCGCGACGCTCGGCCGCCGGTTGGGACAGTGGCTCGCCTTGGATGGCTTTGTACAGCATGCAGACTCTGCGGGACGATTATCATCGTTAATTTTCGTTGCATCAACGTTGGGTATAATTGATTCGTTTGTTTTTAAATTCTTACACTCCACCGCCGTTTTCGCAGAACTTTCGGGCGCTTCGAGTCGTGTCGCTGGACTCGGCGGTGGCGGCCGTAGGGCTGGTGGATCTCTTTTTACGTCTGATGCTGCGCTTCTGGTCGGTATCGACTCTGCAAGAAGACACGATATTCGTGAACGCCCGGCTCTTTATACTATAAATTATATATCAATCGATAAACTTACGAATTTTGCGAGAAGGGTTGAACCTTGGCGACTTTGGGCAGCGAGTCGTCGGCTTTGAGGATCGGCAGGGCCTTGCTCAAGAACTTCAACGTGTGATTCTTTATCAACTCACTGTGTTTGATAATCGAAAAAAAATCAATCAAGAAATTAGCATCGTATGATATAAAAAATATATATATAATCACACTCTGTTGCAAGTACTCACAAAGGATATGACTGCTCGCCGAACTTGTGATTCATCGGGTTCTTGGGTATGAAGCCCTTGTTGAGATCGCCGCAGATGTTGTGCACCGAGACGAAGCCCTTGCCGCCTGCCTGCTTGTTGTTGGCCGTCGTCGTATCGTGGCACTCCTTGTCGCTGTTGGCGTAGGGCGGCGGCCTGACCTTGGGCGGCTCGGCGTTCGGCGACTCGACGAACGCGTAGTAGCCCTCCGGGGGCTCGTCCGGCGACGTCGCCGTCGTCGTCGTCGGGTTATTGATGCTGTTGCCGCCGCCCTTGACGTGATCCGCGTCCTCCGCGAGACAGGCCGCGAACAGCAGGATCATCTGGGGGGAGAAAATTAATTGATAATTTGGGCTTATGATTGCGATATAGGTACTACACGAGGCGCAAAACTAAATTATCAAAAGCAAGAATCGCAGTTGTTGAGAGGATTTAACAAATAAAAGTCGCATCCAACTTATGATGTTCTCAAAATCAGCCATCCAAATTACGCGCGATGAATTATTATTATTGTCATTCTCGCACATTAAGAATAAATAAAATATAATAGTGGCTACTATCGGTGCGCTGCTTTTCAATGGACAGAATTTCGCAACTCCATCGCCGCGCATAGGTCGCGCATTTTTCAGTCGTCGCTACTGGTCACTTCACCGATTCGCCTGCGCGCGGAGGCAAAACAAAAGAGAGCATTGCGGTAAGTTAAGTATCTTGTTATACGTGCGTGTCCATTACCGTTACGACGTCGCAGCGTGTAAACAGTGGAATATCCCGTCGACTGCAGTCAGTGAGTCTCGTGTCAAAAAGTGAAAAATATTATCTCTCGTTATAGCCCAAAATACTGTGCGTTTGGGTAATATCGAGCGCGCGAAACGATGTTCGCGTCCAAACCCAAAGCAATTTTTCGCGCGGGTAGCGGACCTTCGAGCTTGGAACAATTGAAGGGTTTACGAGTGAAGGTGAATTGGGAGATCGAAGCCGAGAGATTTCAACTTCTCCGTAGACTCGATCCATTGATCAGAAGTTGGCAGGGCCAACTTCCCGATCTTCGAGACATTTTTCAGCCGAAAGAGATGGACTAATTTCTCATAGAGAATCTGAGGTACAGCGGCTCCTCGAGCCAAGAGATCATCCAATTCGTGGCTCGTTGCGGCTACAAAGACCAGCCCGAAGTCGACGAAGACGACAGGCCATCGTTACTGCGCACCACACCGCTGCATCACGTGGCTCGAGGAAATTTCGCTCTCAAGAACGTCATTATTCGCGACCTGTTCGAAATCTACGACAGATTCGAGGTCAATTTGTGTCGAATATCATGCCGGACGTCGTCGACGTACTCTTGAGTCGCACGGCGGCGCCGATCTCGCGAGCTTCGTTTTCCCGACGTTGAAGATCCACCTCGACGATACGTTTACCAAGGCCGACGACGTCAAGAAATTGAGACTGGCCTCGGGCGCGTTGGCCGTCGTCGAGCAGCTCGAGAGAAGAGATTTTTCACCAGGCACGAGCTGTTCGAGAGACCGGAGAAACAATCGGATCATCGACGCGACCTGACACCTTGGTATCGCGACGAAGAGTTCGTGTAAGAATTGAAAAAGCTGCACGATCTGATCCGATTGCGCGCCGACGATTGCCGATCGTGTGCTGCGACTCGATCGTCGACGGTCGATTCACCAACGAAAATTTGTACGATATCTGCTTGTCGGTTGCTGATAAAAGTGCCCGATGTCGATGAGAATATTTGTAATTGCAGGGTTTAAGTTTCTTGATTGTTGTTACTCAATGCTGCCGATTTTTCGTCATCATAAACAGACTAAATAAAGAATGAAAAAAAACATAGCGATTTACGGGCTCGCTATACCGATCTTTTTGATACCGTTAAATCTCAGCGCCTACGGACGAGCCCCGAGCCGCATTCAAACATTTTCAATTGTCTTCTCGTGGGCGGCATAATGATAATCTCTCCTCTCTCCGTCGGTCATCGCGATGAAAATCGGGTCAGAGCTCCGTAATATATAGCTCGTGCAACTTATATAGGGCTCGACTTTGAACTTTTTCAGCTGTACCCCGATGCGCGTGTATATATTTTGAGAAGTACAACAAAACTCGACGCAGGTATGTGCAGTATGCGTATATGCACGAGCACGTTTTCGAACGTTACGTTACATTACATTTTTTTTTCTCTCCGCTCGTCGTCGTCGTCGTTTCTTTCTCGACCGCTCGTAAAATGACGTAAGTCGAGGCGATGCGTCGTAAACATCGGGGGCCCAATGGTACACATTACATACATATACAGTCGATGCCAGTCAGTGTGGAAAAGACAGAGAGAGAGAGAGAAGACTGAAAGGAAAGACTCGTGGCGTGTGTGCGCGGCGGATACCCCGTTAGCGCTGGCAATCGTTAACGGTATATTATATATCCCCGGTCCAAACGTACAACTTACACTACTTATACCACTGCTACATACATCCACACGTGTGTGTGAGTAAGAGCTCTTTTTAGCACGAAGTCGCGCGAAGGTATGCGCACACGAGATACGCATATGTATAATGCATCGCGTACGCGCGGATAATAATAATTATAACGAGAAGAAAAAAAAAGCAGCAACAGAATTTGCACTCGTAAACGCAGGCACCTATTGTTCGAGCATCGCTTATATATGTACAAAGTAAAATGAGATATTTCGGAATGCCGAGCACGAGCTCGCGCCTGCGTGCCTGCGGATTGCAATGTGCATATAGGTATAATATACGAGAAAATCCGCGCGAGATGATAATGTGAGTAACTTTTTTAATGATGCCAAGCACCCGCGAAAATGGGATACCATTGGATCGTATACGGGCCGAACTGTACGTACCATCGTTGAAAAAGTCAGGACGATTCTCGTGTAATAATAGTTTTCTAATAGGAAAAGTAATTATGCTTAGATGATCGATACGACGATATTTTATTTCTAATTGTTGTGCGGTATCGAAAAAGTATTACGAATAGTGACGAGTCTGCGGATTTTTCCATATATCTACGGGCTCGTGTACTCTCCTTGGTATTGTCGGTTGGAAAAAAATTTTTCCCCGCGGCGCAAAACGACACTCGAGCGAGAGAAAACGCGTAAATATTATAGTCTCTCTTTCTCTGCGCGCGCGCGCGAGAGAGTCGCCGAGGATAAACGCGCGGGGACTATATAGGCAGATCGTAACGACGAATTTTACACTTCCATTTCTAATCGACGACCATTATTATTCCGAAAAGAGGTATATATAAGTATCGCGCATAGGCCTCGCTGCTGCGCTTGCATCTTTTTTTTTATCCTTCTCTTTCGTCTCTCGTAATCGTATGCAATATAATGCGCGCGCGGCCTACTTCGAATAATGTATATCGGCCTATACCGCGCGGCCGAAGAGACCTCGTCTGTTTTTTCGTTTTTATTTTATTTCTATTTTTGCGTGCATATACGTATTTTTTCATTGTTTGACTGTAAAACCTCGTTCGTACGTAGGCACCTATATGTAAGCAACTGGGTCAGCTGCTGCTGCTGCTGCCGCTTCTGTGTCACGTTATAACACCCGTGTATAAATCCTGTGCATCTGCGCGCCGAGATATACTTTGCGTTCTAAGCCATTATACATTAGACTGTCCGTTATTTCCCGAATTGCTCCAATCCTCGCTCTCACCCCTTGAAAGTTCATCATTTGGCTCACAATGAAAGAAAATCACTGTCTGACAGCGATTAATTAACTCTAGATAGTGCCACACGCGTCAGATTTTTTCCCATTTAAATAACATGGGAAAATTTAAAAAAAATGTAAATTGAAGTTTTAAACCACTTAAAATCGCTAAACCTTGGGTTTAGCGACGGTTTTCACTTCCTGGTACACCCATAATGAGTAACCAATACTTACGGGAACCCTCCGAAAAGAATTTTGGATTTTGCACACACGATATACTCAAAAAATGAAGAAAAACAGCATGTTGGCGTGGTTTTTCGATATTTTACAGCAAAACTAAGCATGAACGATCATTTTAAATATATTCACGTCAAAGTTGAGATCAAGACCTTTAATTTGAGGGTAATAAAACCTATTTACGTTCATTAGAACCAAAGTTACAGGCGTTTGAAGTTTCATTGAAAAATCAGGTATCGATTCTCGTCCGGCCGCCCAAACGCGCGACTCGCGGCTCGCTGTAATCGCAACTCGTACAAATGACCATGTAATTAAACTAGAAAAATAATTAAAAATATGATTTTTATGCGTTTTTTTCTCAGCTTTCACGTGGTGTAGTCGGATTTTTCGATAATTTTCATTTTCGTACGAAAAAATGGACTTGAACATTTATTTCCTATTTTTCCTAGTGAACGAGTAAATTATCGAAAAATCCGACTACACCACGTGAAAGCTGAGAAAAAAACGCATAAAAATCATATTTTTAATTATTTTTCTAGTTTAATTACATGGTCATTTGTACGAGTTGCGATTACAGCGAGCCGCGAGTCGCGCGTTTGGGCGGCCGGACGAGAATCGATACCTGATTTTTCAATGAAACTTCAAACGCCTGTAACTTTGGTTCTAATGAACGTAAATAGGTTTTATTACCCTCAAATTAAAGGTCTTGATCTCAACTTTGACGTGAATATATTTAAAATGATCGTTCATGCTTAGTTTTGCTGTAAAATATCGAAAAACCACGCCAACATGCTGTTTTTCTTCATTTTTTGAGTATATCGTGTGTGCAAAATCCAAAATTCTTTTCGGAGGGTTCCCGTAAGTATTGGTTACTCATTATGGGTGTACCAGGAAGTGAAAACCGTCGCTAAACCCAAGGTTTAGCGATTTTAAGTGGTTTAAAACTTCAATTTACATTTTTTTTAAATTTTCCCATGTTATTTAAATGGGAAAAAAGCTGACGCGTGTGGCACTATCTAGAGTTAATTAATCGCGGTCGGACAGTGATTTTCTTTCATTGTGAGCCAAATGATGAACTTTCAAGGGGTGAGAGCGAGGATTGGAGCAATTCGGGAAATAACGGACAGTCTATTATACATGTATAATCCAGCGGCCCGAATCGAAAAACAAAATCGAGAACGTTGTGTTGTGTGTGTAGCGCGTCCGCTGCAGTCCGACGTATATATATATGATATGCATAATTCACGAGTTTTCGGGGAACTCAAATCGGGACATTTTCACCTCGAGTTTATAATTTTGACCGCGTTTCGTGAGCTTCTAATAACGTCGCGCGAGCCGAGAGTGAGGAGAGAGAAAAAAATCTGAGATCGAGCGATAGCAGAAAAAGAAAACAGCAGATGGTTTTTTTCTCTCGCGTCCAACGACAGGTGAAACGTTTTGCTCCGTGGGTGGATCATCGTCGCGCGAGATAATTAGAGATTATGAGATCGAATTCGATGGATGTTCATTTTTTCTTCATTACACTCCAAAAATCTAACGCAGAGAAAGAAAAATAACTCCAGCAATTTGTCCATATTCCACTCGCCGAATGGATTTTTATATTACCCAACGACAGTGTCAAAGTCTCTCTCTCTCTCTCTCTTATGCACATTTGTTTTCCGGCTTTGTGCCGCAGCGAGCGACTTTCTCCTCTGCGTAATTTCAACGCCTATAATGACAGAAATCCATATATCTGCCATTTTCTCAATCAACGTGCTAATTTTCAATTATAACCAGTCGTTTTTTTCTCTCTCTCTCTATCAACACCGCAACGAGATCGTTTTGGGTTTTAATCGCGAGCTCGCGGGGGGAGGGTAGGGATCGAACCGCGTTACCGATTTATTATCATTACGTAAAACGATTCGAATAATGAGCTCGTAATTTTTCTCCGCATACAAAGTCGCCGAGTCACGATAAGCGCGTTACGCGTGTTTTATAATAGTAGCTGCCAATTGCGGTGTATATCCAAACGCTTTTTTTTCGAGAGTCCTCGACGCAGACGCAGTCCTAAATTCGCGGCCTCTATACCGTCTCTGTCGGAGCAGTGCCTCTTAACCTACTTGAGAATCTGCATGATCTCGTGTACATGTATCGAGAATATATACCGATTCGCGGGAAAAGATCCACGCGCGCTCGCGCGTGCACGGAAAAGCCGGTAAAATTCCTCGTGGCGTGTGTCGGTGTGCAAACCATTATACAGCATCGCGATCATAAGCGCGTTACAGTTACGGCTGCCAAGAGAGAGAGAGAGAGAGAGAGAGAGAGAGAGAGAGACGATGACCCATGAAAAACCGGTTTTGCAAAACGAGCCGTTGTGTGTATATACGCGCAAACTCATATACACGCTCACACGTATGCAGTATGATAAGACGTATTGTGTGTGTCTGTGTGCGTATACTAATATACACCGACACAAACATCGCGGATCGGCGATGCGCGCGACGTGTCCCGTAATTTCTGAAACATACCCAACGATCATCGCCACATTATGACAGTTAATAAAAGCCGAACTGTTCGGCTCTCGTGCGTGGCATCGTACACGCGCATTCATATATTATTTAAATCGATATGTACGCTCGCGATATTATGCATCGCCGATCCGCGCGTATTATGTAGTACATATACCGGAAGACGCGACGACTGTGAGTATGTGTGTGTGTGTGTGTGTGTTCGCTTCGATGTGTAAACATTACGTTTTAACTCGCGCGGGGGCCAAGTCAACTTTCCTATGATGTATATATGCGCGCCTGCTACCACCACCGAGAGAGAAATTTAATTTTTAATTTACTGCTGCTGCTACTGCTGCGTGGAGTTATGTAGCGCGAGAAAAATTGATGAAAATTCTCCTCGAGGCATATCGCGATGAATCGGTTTCGAAAATCGGCAAGTCGAGAGTCGCGCTCTTTTATTTATTTATTTATTTATTTTTTTCAAATCTCGAACCGATCGAAATTCGACGAAACGATAACGAAAGCACACAAATATACTCACGACGAAGGTACGAAACTCCATGGTGTCGGATCGGCGGAGCGTCTCTCGTCGTTGTCGACCCACACAATTCCGACGCACGGACGAACGAAAACACGAAGACTCAAAATAACCGTCAACTTTTTGGGTTGACCCCCGAAAGCGGAAAAACGATGACAAAAATATATCCGTCTCTTTGTCCTGTTTTTTTTGTTTTTTTTTCTTGTTGTCGAAAAACAAATCGAGGGTGTGTACGCGCGTGCACTAAAACGAATACCGATAATATTACGAGCGCGAGGTGTGCTTCGGGGTGCGCGGTCGGACGATAACTGAACGCCGCTACATACAGGTACACGAGAGCCGAGAAGCGTACGTACGCTCGCGTATACGTATGTATGTAAGAAAATACACGTACTCGTGTGCGTGTACGTGTGCTCTTGCCGCCAAGCGCTATATGCCACTAAAGAGAGAGAGAGAGAGAGAGAGAGAGCCGCGGCACACGTCAAACTCCCTCTTTTTACGGCACGTATATATGGTAGCTATAATATATAGGTACGAACGAGCGTGCACGGCATGGGTAACCGCATCGCGTCTTCTTCTTCGCGCGCCCCGATAAATAACGGCACGCATCATTCCTCGTCCGTACATACCTACGCGCGCACACGCGTATATCGATATACATGATGCGGAGACTTCGCGCGCACTCCGATGATCGTGGCTCGATGACCTTGACCAAGAATCGATTCGACGTCGGCCGCGCGATGTGTGTCGTGGATCTTTGACGACGCGCGGAAGATATATACAATCGTGTCGATAAAATTAAAAAATCGGTTGTCAAGAAGGCAGGAAGAAAGAAAAAAAATAACAAACATCGTAAAGTTCAATGACACTCGCGACGTATACGCGTAAAAGTGCCGTAACGCATGTGTATGTATATAGTTATAATACGGCGACGGACGGGCAGTGCGCGTGACATAACCGATTGCAAATGTAGCTGTATTTTTTTTTCAACGTAAGACTCGCGCGCACTGCAGCCGCGAGAATAATTTCGTGTGTATATGCTCGTATGCATTTCGGTCGAACGATCGATGCGGATGCGTCTTGGAAAATTGCCGATTCTCTAACCGATGTTAAGCGCCGATCGGAGCTCGAATTTTTCCTCGCGACACTTTAGGAAGCGCCGAGTGCAGATATACATGTAACGCGATGTAAAATGTATATACGCCTGCTCCAATAACTGTACGCGGTCTCCGCGCGGCTCGTAACTGTAAATCAAAACAATGCAACGATAATGCATCGTTCCGTCACCTACATACGCTGCGTTAAAGCGCGATGATTATCGATCTTCGTTAGCTACTTTGACACTCGACCGTTCCAGGATCTATGTATCGCGTACAGTCGCTAGACTTGGATGGTCGAATTTACGCATCGATTAAACGTAAATTCGGCGTTCGATGTTTGAGAGACGACCAAATTTTTGTAAATGAAGTCGATCGAGAATGAAAAAGAAAATACCTGCATCGTTTTCTGGATCATCGCACCTCGCAAAATGAGAACGTTGTCTGCGCGTTACGTGCAATATGTATTAGAAAAAATAAGCTTTTGTGTGGGTTGCCCTGCTATTCAGGAAAAGTGAACGAGATTGTGTATAAAATGTGGGCTTGTGTCACGATATTTTCGCGCGATGAACTTGAAAATATGTTCAGGGCTTGGTCATGTAAAGAGCATTAGAAATTTATAGGTATTCGTCGATTATTTAAAGTGTTATACTTTTTTTCGTTTGAGAAATTGTGGCTTTCTCGTTTTATTTCTACAAAGCGTGAATTTTCGTTGACTAGATGTGATTAATTTTTTGCGGAGAATGTGTTTTTTATTGTGTTTTTAGTTAAGGATTTATGGATGTTTAAATTTAAAATTCTCTTTTATTAGTGAAAAATAATGTTTTCTTTCGATTGATATAAATAAATTATACCTGTGCTTTCAACAATTTTTCGAAATAATATCGGACTTTGTATGATGTTTTGAAAGCGACAAAATTGGAGTTTTGTGTCGTGCGATACGTCGATCGTCGATTTCGAGCCGTTCAGTCGTTCGATTTAGTATCCGTATCGACGTCGCAGAGTCATCTCCGAAAGACAGTATCGGCCGTTGCGAGTGATTTCACGCGACAAAAAAATGTTTAAATTGTAAGCGACTTTTGATCGTGTGCAATAGTGAGTTAAACAATGCTCAACAACGGTATTGAGAATGGGGTGGCTGACGTTGCACAGGGCGCGAATCGCGCGATCCCAGACAATGGACACGATCACGCTGCTCTTCGACAAGCGGTAATTAATTCCAGGCCGTACGAGCTGTGCATAACTTATACAATTATAAATACTTTTCCACTTGTAGAATTTGCACATAAAATGTACTCGCCATCTAGTGGTAAAATATGACAACAAATCAACCAGCACTGATTCATTAATTTTCAACGAAGATTTCATTTTTCAAATTCAGTATCGGTCACTTCAACCTTAAAGTCTGATGTAAACATTTTTTGAACAGTGTATCGATATTTACTTCCATACAGTCATATTCAGATCATGTAAATTTTCAGACGTGGAAGATGTAAAAGAATATGCATTTTAATCGCACCAATGTATAATTTTCTTTTCGTAATAATTTTTCGAAAAATCTGTCAAACGCTCGTTATAAATTTTGTACGACATCGGAAGACTTCGACTGGACAAACGGCAAGTGGGAAAATCGGCGGTTAGAATTGTTCTCCGCGGCAGCGATGATAATTAACTAGCTGGCCAAAAAGAAGTTACCCTCTATCAAGGAACTCGCTATGGAAATCTGAGAGTTTATGGTCAGCCGACACGTGTTTCAAGCGATTGACGTCGTTGCGAGCTGGTACGACGATTACGACTGACCATCGTAGAAGACACTATCGGTGGAAGAACAGGTGTACTAGTACCCTGAAGAAATGCTTCTCTCTTGCTGGTACGTCTTTTTCCGGCGCTGCGCCACCTGGCGGTCGCAATTTAAGCTACGAAAGTAGAAATGGTGTGCGGGCGAGAAAAAATCAGTGAATTTGTTGCATTAACAGAATTCACTGAAATCATAATTGCCCCTCACTCTGGGGGATTCGTTCAGTCCGAGAAAAGAATGTACAGTGGGAGACGACTGACAGTGTGACGCTTCAACTCTCAGTCATTGGTAAAATGGATTACCCCGCTATTCAGAAAAAGTTAGCGAAATTGTGTATAAAATGTGGGCTTGTGTCACGATATTTTCGCGCGGTGAATTTAAAAATATATGCTCTTGTTCAGGGCTGGGTCACGTATATATGGTAAAGAGCTTTAGAAATTTAGGTATTCGTCGATTATTTAAAATGTTTTTTTACAAAGCGTGAATTTTCATTGACTAGATGTGATTAATTTTTTGCGGAGAATGTGTTTCATTGTGTTTTTAGTTAAGGATTCATGGATGTTTAAATTTAAAATTCACTTTCGTTAGTTTTCTTTCGATTGATATAAATAAATTATACCTGTGCTTTCAACAATTTTTCGACTACGAAATAATATCAGGCCTCGATCGATACGTTTTGAAAGCGACAAAACTAGAGTTTCGTGTCAGGCGAGAAATATTGACATTTGTTTACCTAATTCATTGGGCTCTCGGCTCGAGTAATGGTTTTCGATCGGCGATTTCGCGCCTTTCCTTCATTCGATTCAGTATTCGTATATCGGTGAGACATTATAGACGGCGACAAGTCATTTCACGCGACCAAAAGAAAAATTTTTAATTTTTCGCTACTTTCTGTTTAATTGTTTTTTATAGTGCTTTTGTAATAATGAGTGAAAAACAACCAAGAATTTGGCAGCCCGATGTGTATGAGGGCTCCATACCAATCCAGCCAATAGTCACCTATATTAGTACCCTAAAGAAATGTTTCTCTTTTGCTGGTATGTCTTTTTCCGGCGCTGCGCCACCTGGCGGTCGAACTTGAAGCTATGAAAGTAGAAACGGTATGCGGGCGCGGAAATAATTAGTGAAGCTGTTGCATTGACAGAGTTCACTAATTAAATCATGATTGTCCCATGAGGGCCTCAATCTCGGAGATTCGATCGGCTCAAGTCCGAGAGAAGAATGTGACCTGCGCTTCGGTGTACGCCAGGAGACGACTGACAACTCTCAGTCATTGGCAGAGGCATATTTAGGTATAGGCTAAGTAGGCTATAGCCTAGGGCGGCAAATTTTGAGGGGCGGCAAGCTGAAGAGAAAGAAAGTAAACATGAAAATGTCATGTCAAAAACCCCAAAGTTGGGCAAATTTTTTAACCCGTTAACGCCCAAACGGACAGAATTTTCTTTTCTTATGTAATTTACAATTAAATCATCTATTGGAGCGAGCAAAATTCTCGAGTACCCATTTTCTATGTAAAATTGAATGTACTTTTTAAATATGAGTTTATAATTAACCTCGGATGAAAATTAAAAAAGTTATGAACAATTTACTGCGAAAAAAACGATTTTGAAAAAACTATAACTGAAATTTTTTTTACTAAAAAAACTTAAACTGTGACATGTAACATCCAAAACTGTGGAATAAGAACCTAAAGTTTGAAGTTCCGTAGGTGGGATTTGAAGAATCAAGATGGTAGGCACTAAAAAATACATTTTTCCAAAAAAATTTACCAAAAAATGTTCCAAAAAATGTATTTTTTTGCTTGTAAACGATCTACTTTAGAAAAAAATTTTATTGAATATTCAAATTCCACCTACAGTACTTTAAACTTTAGGTTCTTAATCCGCAATTTTAGGTATTATTGGCCATAGTTTAAGTCTCTTTCATAAAAAAAATTTCAATCAAAGTATTTTTTCGCGATTCAAAATAGTGTTTTTTTGGTGAATCTTTTTGTGTGAACTCGGATTTTTTAGGGGCGGCTTCTCTCTCCTAGCCTACAGCGCCAAAATTGTAAATCCGCCCTTGGTCATTGGTAAAATTATAGTATTGTACTGACAGTATTAAAAGTATCCCTCCATAGAAAACGTTAGCACAAAATGCACAAAATGGCAAAATCTTTGGGATTGTGGATAACTTTTTTTAAATACGTACACTCAAAATAAGTCATGACACGAATATCTTTGATGTACGCTTTCCACGGGCTAAGCCAGGAGATTGTAGACAGTTTTCCCAAAATCCCAATAATATGTTAGTAATATCTTCTTGAGGCATGATTATTCGCGAATCAGAAAGAACGAACACTAGACCTATTATAATTCTGTCCGGTTCACAGAGTACTGGAACATGTATAAGCAATAAGCATAGGAATTCCAGCGTTCCAGCAGACAGAATTAGATTGGGTCTAGTGCACATATTCGCTTGGTACAAAAATTATGCAGAAAACATTACTCAACTTTAATTCTTTCAACACGTTTTTTTATAAGACTTGGTCAATTACTAATGTTCATTCTTTTTTTAGCTTCTTCATTCAGCTCAAATTGAAGTTTTTCAATGAATTCAAATTGATGTTTCCAGACTTATGTATGAGATAATAGATGGAAAAGTCAACTATATTTTTAGGATTTTCATCGATTTTTCCATATTTTCAGTATTGAATAACGTTTTAATGAATTAAAGAGTCTAAAAAAATAAGTAAAATAAAGTATAGTAAGAATAATTTCAAGACTAGAAAATAGTTTTTTAGAGAACACCTGCAGGGCACTTGCGAAGTATGCAGTTACTTACGTTGCAAGTGCGTAGTAGTATGGAATATTTCACATAATCAATCGATTCAATGAATAAAATACTAAATTACGATTCATCATCTTATTATTATTATTATTATTATTATTATTATTATTATAAATCATTTTCATGACACTTGAACAATTGAAAAAATTGTATCGAACGACTCTGCATTATCCAATATGAACAAATACTTTGAATAGAACAAAAAAAAAAGGAAATAACCAAGCGTGCAGTACATGCGTACATAAATAAAGAAGCTCTCACATCTCACTCTCACTCGTTTACATTACGATCATAAACAATATTAAATGCGACAGTTACGTTAATATCATATCAATTAAGATTCCTTAAAAAAAGGTACACAATATCATCTCAGTAATGAACGGTCTTGTCGTGCTCCTGCTGATGATAGATCAGCACGTCCTTGAAGTAGAAGTTCGGTCCGTGGAAGTCGGGCTCGCTGATGGGCCGATCGAGCGGATAGCCGAGCGGCCTGTTGTCCATGAGCGAGTCGCCGAAGACGCGCGAGGTGTAGTGCACGGGCTCGGCCAGCACCGGCGCCACGTGCACGAACAGCTGGAACGGCATGCCCTCGGGCCGGCCCTTGGGCAGCAGCAGCCGCGCCGGGAAGCCGTGGACGCGCTTCTCGAGCTTGAGCTCCTCGCCGCCGGTGGCGTCCGCGGCCACGCCGATCCTCTGCAGGAACACCTCGTAGGGCTCGGGGTCCTCGCTCACGAAGAAGAAGTCGTGGCAGTTGCGCACGATCTTGTTGGGTCCGGCGGCCACTGCGCAGCAACAAAAAAAAAAGAAATGAGAAAAAAAATTCATCGATGTAGCCCGCGCGTCGATGTACTACTCACGATCGTAGATGAAGTTGTCCATCTCGTAGAACTCGTCGTGGTGGTCCTTGAAGTCGAGCTCCTTCATGTGCACGTTGTACTTGGGCCCGAGGAAGATCCTGATCGCGGCCTTGGTCGGCTTCGCAGCGTGCACCTCCAGATTGACGTTGAAGTGCTTGTGATTCAGCCGGTGCTGTCGCGCCTGTATCACGTAGGCCTCGGCCTCGGCCACGTGATCCACGTACAGGCCGTGGCCGATGCTGCTGTCGAAGTGATCGAAGTACGTCTCCAGCCGATCCGTCTCGACCCGCTCGATCTTGAGCTCCGGATAGCTGATCTCCTCGGGCTTGTAAGCGCCCTGATTGTGCTTGTAGCGCTGATAGTAGTGCAGCAGGCGCTTGTAGATGCGCCAGAACGCGGGATCGCGCAGACTGGTGGTCTCGTGCTCGAGGGCGCTCGGGTGCAGCTTCTCGGGGCTCATCGGGGCCAGATTGAAGCCCAGTATCTTGCGCTGCAGCCAGTCGAGCCTGCCGTAGTACTGCTCGTTGACCGAGTCCACGTTGCCCTCGATCATGTTGCCGAGAATGTTCAGGCCGTCGTCCTGGTTCGCGGCGCCGTACAGCTTGGTGGTCTTGCCCTCCTTGGTGAAGGCGATGCCCGAGTCGACGGCCTGGCCTAAGCGCGACTCGTACTCGGCCGCGTCCTGGATCCAGTGCAGCTTGGACTTGGGCAGGTGGCTGTCGGCCGGCCTCGAGGGGAAGTGCATGCCGTTCGGATAGGACATGCTCGGCCAGTAGCCCGCGTAGAAGCGGCCGTAGTAGTCGTAGTCCTCGACGTGGGGCAGACCCTGCGACAGGCGCTCGAGGAAGTAACGATTGAAGAGCATCTGGTGGCCGTAGAGGTACTCCTCGCCGCGGTAGCTCTTGGCCTGGCCGCCGTGGAGCTCCTCGCCGCCGACGAAGAATGGTGTGTTGGCGCGGAAGTAGAAGTAGTAGTTGTTGAGGCCGATGTCCTCGGTGAAGTAGTTGAGGCGCTGCTCGTAGTCGTACTCGTCGCTCAGGTAGTAGTTGGAGTAGTTGTACGGGATCACGTAGGTGTCGTAGCCGGCGCTGTGCTTAGGCACTATAGGCGCGACGACCAAAAATCATTTTTTTACTTTTTAAAATCAATCGAATGAAAATGAATCGAATTGATCTATGAATCGTGCACTTAATCGATAGTTATTTGAAGAATATTCAGTAAAATTATTAGCCCAAAATACTGAAAAATAAGTTAGCTACAGCAATGTAAAAAAATCCGATGAACACTGTCACCCAAAATCTACGCGACCGATCCAATTCATACTTTATAAACTATTTAATCAGATAATGTACGAGGTAACGACGTCGAGATAATTTAACTTTTTTCATTTCTAAATGCTTCTTACCAACATATAAGATGACTATGTACCTTCATTTTTTCTAAAAAGGTCATATTTTTTACTTCAAAATGATGCGAAAAATTAAAAAAATATTTCTAACGAAATATCTCGATTTTATTGTAATTAAATAATAGAAAAATTTGGAAAGAATCGGTCGAGTCGATTTTCAGCTACAGTGTCCACCGCAAACGATCTTTTTTTTTGTCAGCTTAGTATGTTCTTCAAATAACTATTTATAATACATATAATTTATCGATAAATTCATTTTACTATATGCTCAAAAAAAATTATTAAAACGATGTTCAAAAATCATCGAACAGACCCCCTACCCCCCTTGCTTAAATAATATTTTTTGTTGTTGTTGTTGTTTTTTTTCTTTTTTGCAATGGCAATAATACTCACGCAGCTTGCCGTACTTCTTGACGTGGTGGGCCTTCTCCAGCAGCTCGACGTTGTAGAAGTAGTGGGGCGCGAGCTCGTACAGGGCCGGCAGCCGCATGTACTTGGTGTCGGGCCGATGCAGCACCGCCAGATTGTAGGCGTACAGGAACATGCCCGGATTCAGGACGTTGCGCAGATAGAGGGCCGTCTTGTGGAACGCGTCGAAGTCCTTGGCGTAGTACATGAGACGGAACACGGCCAGGGTCTGGTCGAGGGTGTGCGGGTAATAGACGGAGAACACCGAGTCGTGGGGCAGGAAGCCGTGCTCGGCACGATGGAGGAAGTCCTTGACCGCGTGCTGCAGAAAACCGTGGGACACACGGTTGGGAATCAACAGATCGATCGCATTTCGATAAAAAAAAAAAATTACAATATATCGTTATACCTTGTTGGTGTAGCTGTCGGCGTGCGCCTCGACGTTGTACTCGTGGCCCTCCTTCTGCAGCTCGGGCTTGAGCTCCGGCTGGAAGTAGTGCGCCAGCACGTGATAGATCTTCTTCTGCTTGGCGAGGAAGTCCTTGTCGGCCGAGAACTTGGTCCGGTAGTCCGGCTGGTAGGCCTGGCCGAGCACCAGGCCCACGACCAGGGCCGACAGCAAGCCGAGCCTCAGCATCATCAACTTCGATTCCGTACCCTTTTTTTTTTTTTTATCAACTTTCGGCTATGCCTCGGGGGAAAAATCCGCCGACTCCTCTCTCTCTCTGGACGTTAAAACGATATGCACGCGCGTCCGGTCGTGAATGCACTTGCGACTCGGTTAGCCAAGCCGGGCCTTTATATAGGGACGCGCTCGCCCCCGGCCGATCGCGCGCCGCTTCTAAGCCATAATAGCCGAGAGAACGAGAGAGAGAGAAAATAAAAATGTCTCAAAGAGCGAAAAAAGGCCAACGAAACTAATCTCGCCAGCAAGCACAAAGACGAAAGCGAAACCGAGAGAAGAAGAAGAAGAAGAAGATGCAGCGACAGAGAAAAGGGAGAGCATAATAATGTAACGTAACATCAAAATGCAAAATAAATGTAAAATAAATAAATAAATAAAAATAAAAAAAAAAGAGCGAGAGACGCGACGCGAGCGTACGGCAATTAAAATTAATCTTTCCAGAACAGGTCAAACCAGTGACCCGCGGGGGCTGTATATATGCAACACACCGGCCGCGGTGTCTGTCTGTGTCTCCGTGTTTGTGTGTTTATGCTTGACTTGGACATTTCTATTTGTTTCGTTATTACGAGTTCATATTTTGTATATTACATTACTTATTACGCTTATCTTTAGACGGAAATCAGTCATTTATTTATATACGCATTGTGCCTCGAGTAGCTTCGACGAGGAATCAATGAAAACTGCTGTTATGTATGCGCACGAGCAGCAGCAGCAGCAGCAGCGGCGATAAGTACTTGTGTATCGCTCGCGGATGTAATTTGTACGATCGGCAAAGAATCACGATTATTCTACCGTTTATTATTAACTTTTCTCGATCGTTCTCGTACTCGTATATAACGCAAACACAACGAGCGAACGCGATGGTATATCGTGGAAAATTTGGAGGTCCGCAGACGCGCACGAATTTTTGTTTTCGTTTTGTCCATCGCCCCGCGCGTTGCATCGGCTTTTTAAAGAGCGAGGCTCGCTGCTGCTGCTGCTGCACGCGAAGAGGGCTCGTTTTAAAGCTACACAAAACACAACACAACACAGGCAGACAGGCCCACGGAGGGGCGATCGTTTATTTTGAATTCGCACGCGCAGAAACTTTGTAGCTCAAACTCCCGAGCAAAAAGTGGACGAACTCGTTTTTTGCATTCGGGGGGGCTTGCGTGCGTTGCACATATAATGTACACCCGAGCGCGTCTGGTTTTTGGCTGCAGCAGGATCCTCTCCTTCTCGCGTTTGTTCGTTGTCGTTATATGATGATGATGATGATTTTTAAAGTGCGACCGGTGGGTGTGTGACGCTCGAAATATATACGTAGTCTTCGCCGATTGCAAATATTATACAAAAGTCAAAGTCTAGCTAAAAGCATGCTAATACGACGTATAGATTTTTTACTTTTTTAAATTAAGTTTTGTATTCCGTGGGCGTCTCTCTCTCATCTCGAACCAACCAGTTCTGGACCGCTGTAGACAAACAAAGGCCGGTGTCGTTTTCGTGTCGATGCAACTAAAAAATGCACTCGAAAAAGTTTCGAAGATCAATAACGAAAAAGCGTTTGGATTCAGATTCATTCATCGCGTATTTATTATTGCTCTAAAGACAAAAAGTTATAATAACAACAACAACAACAACAAACAACAAACAACAACGATAATCAATTAATTAAATTAATAAACAAAACAACGCCGTTGAGCTCGCATATTTATAAAATATAAGGCCTCAATAGTGCACGGGCATCTCGTGCATCCTTTCGTGCTGCTGCTGCTGCATCTTCATGTTGTACTCGGAAGATACGCCCTGGACGCGTCCGTAGGGCCAAGTCTGATGATGTTGTTGGTAGTAGGCAGCGTCGTGGTTTTGATGCATAGTCGGCATGATCATCGACGGGCCGTACTTGACGTACTCGCTGCTGCCGTAATTCCTTATACCTTGCTGGGGGTAGGCGTGATGCTGGCCGTGCATCATCGTATTGGTCATCATCATCGAATCACCGCGATCGTAACCGGCGTAATTGTAGTATCCGCCGTGGTGATGTTGCTTCTGTCCCTCGTCGTGGTAGGCCGGGTATACAGCCTCGTCGACCCGATGGCGCACGTAGACGTCGCGGAAGTAGCCGTTGTCGAGCTGCATGAACCAGGGCTGCATCGGCCGGTCCAGTGGGTAGCCGAGAGGTTGGCCGTAGAAGACGCGCTGGCCGAAGAACGGCACGTCGAGGCTCTTGCCGGGCTGGTAGGGGGCCACGTGCACGTAGAGCTTGTAGCGCTGGCCGTGGGAGCCGGTCTTGCCCATGGGCAGGTAGAGGTGCTCGGGGAAGCCCCACTGGTGGCCATCTTGGGTCATAGCCTCCTTGCCCTCGAGGGCCTGCACGATCTTGGCGTAGTACTTGTCGCCGGTGATGTGGCCGTGCTTGAAGAAACTGGACTCGCCGCTATGGCGCTCGATCTTGTTCATGCCCTCGATCACTGCGTGGATCAAAAAAAAAAGTTATATCGATCGAGTAAAAAGACAACTACGGATAATAATTAATAATAACGAATCGACGGTGTATACTCACGGTCGACCTCGAACTCGTCCAGCATGTAGAAGTACTGGAAGTGCCTCAACAGATGCGCGTAATCGTCCACCGCGGGTCCCAGGAAGAACCTGATCACGGCCTTGGTGCTCTTGTCGCTCTGCACCGCGAGCTTGTAATCGAACGGCTTGTAATTGAGATGATGCTGCCAGGCCTTGATGTGGAACGACTGGCCGTCCTTCATGCTCGGCACGTTCACGGCGTTGTTGATCAGATAGTCCTGGGCGTCGAAGTACGTCGTCAGGCGGTCCTCGCTCAGCTCCAAGCTCTCCACTTTGACACCGGGGAACTCGAGCTCGGATTTGGTGTAGCGCGGCAGCCGCGATTTGTAGCGCAGGAACAGATCGACGATCTTGCCGTACATGCGGTAGAAGGCCGGGTCCTTCATGCTGGTGGCGAAGAAGTGCAGAGAGCCGGGCAAGTAGTCGTGCTCGTCGCCGCCCTCGTAGTGCTGGCCGAAGGTGTGACGGAACAGGGCGTCGTACGAGCCGTAGTAGCCCGGATTAATGGAGTCGTGATTGCCCTCGATGAGATTGGCCAGGACGTTGAGACCGTCGGGTCCCGAGAGTCCGTACCTGTTGCCGTGCTCGTCGACGACGAAGCCCGAGTCGATGGCCTCCTCGATTCTGGCCTCGACGTGGCGCATGCGCTCGAGGTAGCGCTGCTTGTAGTAGGGCACGACGTTCCACCAGTCGCGGCGCGGCATCGCCACCCCCGTGTGATAGGTGTACTGGCCGTAGAAGCCGGGCATACCTGCGCCGGCCTGGAAGTCGCCGCCGGCCTCGATGTCGGGCAGATCGTGGCCGATGCGCTCGAGATGGTAGCGAGCCATGAGCTGCTGGTGCACGTGGTAGTACAACTCGCCACGGATCCACTTGGGCAGGCTCTGGGTGTCGCGACTGGACAGCCAGAAGGGGTACATCATGCGGAAGTAGTAGTAGTAGGCGTTGAGGCCGATGTCGTGGGTGAAGTAGCCGAGTACGTGCTCGTCGTGGCTGTGATAGTGTCCCGGGCTCATGCACATGGGCCAGCCCTGGGAGAAGTTGGAGAACAGGTGGAAGGTCTCGAAGCCGGGTCCGGACCAGTGTTGTTGCTTCATTTGTTCTTCACCGTGATGTTCCTGTTGGTACTCGTGGCCGCGAGTCATGGCGACGCGCTGCGCCTCGTGGATGACCCTCGAGTCGAAGAACACGTTGGGATAGAGCTCGTAGATGGCCGGCAGACGGATGTGATGGGTGTCGGGCCGATAGATGACGGCGGTGGTGAAGGCCGTGACGAACATGCCGGCGTTCATGTGGATGCGAGCCCAGGCGGCCGTCTGGTAGAAGGTGACGAAGTCGCGGGCGTAGTAGAAGAGACGGTAGAGGGCCATCATCTGGTCGCGGTGCTCCGGATGGTAGTACGAGAAGATGTCGTCCTTGGTCAGCATGCCGTTGCGGTAGTAGTCGATAAAGTCCGTCACTACTTCCTGCGTAATACGATTTTTAAGAATAAAATGTATAGTTATTTTGTTATTCTCGTGAATAATTATATACGTTATTGTAAATATTATACTGACATTGTGGTGGTAGTGATCGATGTTGGCGACTATGTCGTACTGGCGGCCGATCTCGTAGTAGTCGGCGTCGACGATGGAGCCCTGCTCGACGTACCACAGCAGATCGAAGATCTTCTTCTGGCGCATGAGGGTGTCGTGGTCGAAATGTTGCTGCTGCTGCTGATGCTCGTATTGCTCGTGGCGTATGGAGCCGGCCGCGACCAGGCTCACCGCCGCGAGGCACAACACGAACGCCTTGTTGAGCGTCATCTTGTCCTCTCTCTCTCTCTCTTGCGCTTCCTTCCTTAAGCTACCTCGAGATGAACTAGTCGATTGAAATTCGCCGCTTGGTTTACCTCTCTTGCCTTTGGGTGCAAGCTGCTGCTTGTTCGCCGACTCGATGCATCTGGCCCGGCTGCATCGACTTTTATACTCTCGCCAATTCGTCGAGCGAGATAATCGCCGTCGGCCCCGAACTGCAGTCGCTGCTGAACTTTGACCCTTAACTCTCGTTGCTTTCTCAGCGAGAAAAAGGCGGCGGGGATAATCGAAAGGTAAAGATTGAAGTTCGGAACGAGCGAGCGAGAGAGAGAGAGAGAGAGCAACTTCGATTTCGTATCTATTATTCGCGTTGATCCGGTACGAGAGAGCTTGCGAAACTCGAGAGCGCGCGCGTGGACGCCGAATGTGCGGCGCGAAAAAATTCCATCGCGTATACTCGATCGCACTCGCTTTTTTGTTTTCTACGTTTTCCCGCGGATAACAGCGTGCACGGGCGAGATTTTTTTGGTAATTCGGACTTTGTACATTCACGAATAACCAAAAGATCGAGAAAGAGGCAGTTTGATCTAGCGTGAACTAAGTAATGCTGCGTTACGTTATGATTTGATCGAGATTCGGGTGTAAATATTAATCGTTGGCAGCTAAAGATACGTAGGGTGAATGTATCGATCTCCATTCGGTTATGTTAGTTTATTTCGACAATCAAAAACTTGAAAATTACTCTAAAAACTCACTAAATTTACAAAGGGATTTTGAAGAAAAAAAAATTTTAAACGTTGCCAGTTTCAATTAAAATGTGGCTGGTAATTGGTATTGAAAAAAATCTGCTCCCATATCCCGTCATTTTTCACACGATATAATTTGATATTTTCATTTAAAAAGCGCCATGTGAAATAAAAATGACGCATGATCATTTTAATTATTTGGAAGCTTCTTCAAAAGTTTATACATTTTTTTTTATCTTCATTTTTCATTATTTACAATCTGCTTACAAAATCAACAATAGGTAAATATTATTAGCATTTGTTAGTTGGTGAGCATGTTGACCGTTAACCACCGTTAAACGCCATTGTTGCAGCATCTGCACTGCAATTTTTGATGTTTTTACTGTAAACATTTTTTAAATCTAGACGAGTGTATAGCATTTTTTAAGAGGTCCCTAGCTTCGCTATTTGAATGGTTATGAATCTTGACTCTGTCGACTTTTGTCTTAGCTTCTATTACTTCCGAGATTATGCTTACTTTTAGATCTGTATGTATTACTTCATTGGGAACTAACCATGGTGCGTTAACGATGCACCGTAAGACTTTATTTTGAAAACGTTGCAGTATTTAAACGTTGGAGTTTGACCCTGTACCATACAGTTCTATGCCGTAGCTTTAGACAGGTTTCAACACACACTTGGAAATAAATAGTTTGTTGTTGAGGTTGTTTATAAATGATTGAGTTAAAGTCACTGGGTATCGATAATCATCCTAAAATGAAGTATAGCAAATCAATTTCAGCATTATAGTTCATTATTTCATAGATTTTCAGATGATCTGACTTCAACTACATTCAAGGGGCTGCAATGCATTTCGATATTTTGTAGAATACTTCAGTAGAGGTTTTGGAAAACAAAATTGGAAATTTGATTTGAATTTGAAATGAAACGAAAATGAAAAACTATTTTGTCATGGAAATATCGTCCAATTAAACTATAATAAGATCTAAAAATCATAGCTCAATCGTTCTATATCGATTAAACGCGATTGCAATGCAATTTTAGTCTAATAATAATTATTCGGATAAAAAAAAATCATCATAATTGTTCAGACATTTATCCGTGCGACGATTAAAATTATCAACAATTTCGTCGTCGCACGGAGAGCGTCGAAAGCAACACGATTGGCGAGCGTGGCTTTGTTAATCGTGCAAAAAAAAAGTTGAATTTTCGATAACATTGAAAAATTGTGGTTCGATGTTTGTTTTTGTTTAGTCTGCAATTAAATTAAACTCGAGGGCAGAAACTACGTTGGTGAACTTTGATCGTCGTTGTCGTTTAATGCAGTTATCCAAACGATTGCGACGCTATAGAGCCTAGATTAGAAGTCCATCGCGGTGCTCCTAATTATATATAGAGTTTATTTTTTATTCTTTTTTTTGGCAAACTCTCGCGTTATTTTTTTCGAATATTTTCGATAAAGTAGCTTTCGGTCGATTATTACAAAAAAAAAATTTAATCCACAAAAAGTCAGCATAAAAAGCGTTAGTTTTAATGATTATAATTTTGTTTCGATATACGGGTACGCATGTACTTGCACATCATTTTTTTTAAATAATTGGTGTGATATTTCATTAACTATTACGAAAATAAACTCTCCTTCGATTGCATTAAACGTTCAATTTATTCATGTCTTAAATAATTGAAAGGACTATTTAAAAAAAATATATCGTTATTTCATAAATTTGAACAAGAGTCCAACCAACAGCCTCTCGATAGGAAAGTAAATGAAACGAAAGCCATTGAACTATTTATCAAATGACAATGATCGATCCAATTTATTTTAATCAACGACACGCCATGCGTGTCCAATATGACTTTACTATTTATTTAAAAATCGGAATAACGACTGTTACTATTTCTTGACTTGATGAATATAGCGTCTACGCTGTCCGGCATCGATTAATCAATGCCTCTGCGATGCGAAAACAAGTGCGCGTCGTCCGTACACGATTACCGCGCGCGCGTTGCATAATTATCAATAATTTGTTTGTCGCGGACTTTGCGCGACCCATCGTTATTAAATAGAAAATTTTTTTTCTCTCTTCCTCGTTTCGTAGATCGTGACACGCGCAGTCGTTGGCAGGAAAAAAATCGTAGACTTTGCGGGGGCCTATCTCGTTTTTAAATAGAAAACTTTTTTCTCTCTTCGTGACGAGAGGTACAGGCGGAAAAAAAATATGTAACTCATTGAATTACGATGATAATCGTTCGTTCAAGTTCAGCGGTTCTAAGTGGAATTTAATAAATCTGTCTCGAAGGATTAATTAGAGATATCACGCTGATATGATGAATCATCGTTATTTTTTCATTAAAAATTTTAACGTAATTATAACGGAACTATTTAATGTTCCCGCTTCTTCCTCGTTATGCGGCAAACAATTTTGGCTCGACCGATCGGTAAAAGACAATAAGCAATTTAACGTATAAGAGGTGTTACAAAAAATTCAAGTCTCATCGTTTATCTGTACAGTAGTGATACAGCCATTTGTACGGGCATGACGAGCGCATAGCTAAACATATACAATTCAGTTGAAAGCAATAATCGATAGTTGCGGAAAAAATCGTTACGATTACTAGATAAGTATTTTTTTTAAGGCAACTACTGAATGCATCTTACATTGACTCGAGCAAAAGCAGAAACCCTTGACCTTGGGCATAAGACAGAGAAAAGAAATTATGCAGATTTCGATAAAGCTTTCGCACGGCAGTCGCCAAAAAAAGCGAGAATATTCCATTATTATTTGTTGGCACGTAGCGCGCGATAACATTTTTTACTTTTTTTTTGCTCTTATTGTTATTGTTGTTGTTGTTGTTGCTGTTGAATATCGAGCAAAAAAAAATTGATTACGAGTCTCGCAACGGATAAGTGTGAATTGCTCCGACGATTTCGACATGCTTTGCGCACCCGTAACAATCGGAATCGGTAGCGATCGGGTGAAAAATGATATGAAAGCCATTTTTTGCGATTTGGTCAAATGAAATATCGATGTTGTGAGAATTTGCATGTTTGATCCTAAGCCCTGATCGCGCTCAAGATCCAGACCTTCCAGGTCTTCCCCTCCACGGTTTCGGATACACACGAACGAAAACGAGAAGATAAAAAATATTTAGAAGCATTTATGACTCGAGCGAAACTCGTATGTGTGTACTCTTTTCTCAGCCGTGCATATAATTTTTTTTTCTCCTCTGCAGTCCGGCGCATTTCTTTTTCTTCTTCTTCTTCTTCTCTCCTCTCCTAAAACCTGCTCTCCCACTTGTCGCGTCGCGTACACCTCCCCCTAAGCGCATACAAAGTCAGTTTGTTGTTTGTTTCTTGTTTTTTTTTTTTTCAGGCAATATTTTTATTTCGAACGAAAACGTGACCATCACGTGCACGCAGATTTTTTTCCTTCGTTTTTGTTTACAGTACAGCGTGAAGATCCAAACTTGTGTGTGCCTTTGGTTTCAATCCCAAAAACGATGCTACTTTTCTTTTCGACATTTTTCCATACGAGCATATTTTCATCTTTTCCATCTCTCAATGTTGCCACGCACGCGAGCGAGCCTCGCGCGATACATCTGCAAGTTTGCGCAACCGCATCGCGGCATTATTAAAAGTAAATCGCAAAACGCGATAGAAATTTATCGGTGCTCGTTATTACATTACTTAATTTTGCACTAATGTGGCACTATCGAAAAAATAATTGAGGAGAATTTCTTTATCGCTATCTCTTATGCATACGTGCATGCATTGCTATTAACATGGAAGAAGAGAATCGGCGTCCGATCGTGCCACAATATATATAAATGCGAGAGTTAATAATGTTCGCGATTGCTCGAGCGTCAACGGATGCAGAATGCGAGTTGTATTCTTGAGTCGCGTATCGGCTAATTGAACGACTATATAATTTATTCCTTCGTAGTCTAACAGTTTACTTTTGGATTGGATCTATTTCGGGTATTATTATTGTTCTTCGACTTTTTTTTGTAAATATTCGTGTCTACGGTGAAAAACTATTTATATCTTGTGGTTTAGCTAAAAAGGCAAACCACAGATGTTTATAACTAGCTGAACTTCCGGAATTATAATGAATTTTTATTTCTAATAACATACGACGTGAACAGCTTTTTTTATAAACGTTCGAGTTTTAATGCGAAATATATAATCAACTCAATCATAAATAACACGAATATTCATTTGAATTAAATCTAGTTTTATTTATTATTAAATTACTTTAATAATAAAATAATTATGGAATAAATAATTTATATTCTATTATTTGAGTAATGGTAATGGAGATTAAGTGGAATAATTTAGGAACATGATTTTCAATGCCAAGTGGAACTTTGACAGTAACTAATGATGAGACATTTTTTATACTTTAAAATTTAAAATTAATTTTATTACAAATAAGATTATATAACAAAAATAGGACGACACATTTTAACGAATAATTCGTGTCATCTATGTATAATTACATAGGATCTTCATCAGAAGAATCTGAAATGAAATAAAATGGTAAGTAAATGTTTTCGTGTCTTTTTTCAATAAAAAGAAGAAATGCAATGAATTACCTTGGTCTTCGTAAACTAGTAAACATTCCTGTGTATCGACTAAATCTTCCCTCTCTGCATTTTTGGCTATTTGACCTGTTAATAAATTTACTTTTCCTTCCAGTCGCATGAGTTCGGGGAAAAAGAAAAGTTTGGCATCTATAATATTTAATACAGGATCAATAGCTTCCTTGATCTGGGGATGAGATATGATTGTGGTTGTATGCGTAAAGCACACTTCTTTCATCCACGCAATGGCAAATCGACAACTAAAATAATAAATGTCTAATTAAGTTTCAAGACTTTTGAAGAGTGGTATGAAATTGTAAAATTTTTATACTTACGCATAAGTTTTTCCCTCAAGCATCTTAGTTAATTCTTTTACAAGAGGAATTATTGCTTGTGTAGGCAATTTGGCTACAGTGTTTTTAATAATACTCTCAGATTTAACAAATAGAACGCTATCAAGTAGGTTCTTGTCATTGCTATGCAAGGCTTGTATTAAAAGTTTAGCCATATTGTCACCCTTCGAGGTTATTTTACCAGGAACAGTTGATTCTGAATCTAAACTTAAATTATCTAATCTAGTTTGTAGAGGAAGTTGTGAACCAGCTTCAGGTTTCCTTTTGAGTGGTACCTGTTCTTGATCTCCAGGTCCCAAGTACTGTGCACCAGTTTCCCCTAAAGTTTTTACCTTTGTCATTGCCTCTTTTTGTTCATTTTTAGATTTTTTAGATTCTTGTCTTATTAGACACTGAGATTTATCCGAAAAATCAGGTACAACTTTTTCTATTGTTAGAGCAATAAATGAACCATAAGCCAGTGTCATTGCAGTTTCATCTAAGAAGCATGTTGTGAGGATAGGAATCTGTTTGGCTTTCTGTTCAGAATCTGTGGCTATAATAACATTCAAGATTGGGTGAACTGGTTTGCACGATACTCCATTAGCTTGATATTTAAATAATTGAGCATTTCCAGATCTTGTCGTTGATAAAACAAAAATTTGTCCATCTTTTGTACATTTGATAGAATAGTTTAGAACTTCATCTGAAAGTGTTAGCGTGGCAACTGGTGATATGTCTTTTTTGGCCTAAAAATCATTTTATATTATAATATTTGAATTTTAAACAATTGGATATATTCAAAAATTGATAAAAATTTCTTACCTGATTTAAAGGCCACACACTGAGGTAATTATCTCCATTTGAACTACTTACAAGATAACTTAATTCATCGCTTATTTTGGCAACGGAGAGATTATTGACCTGACTTCTGAGGCCTGAGAAGGTACCTTTTAGTTTTTTTGATTCAATATCCCACCATTTGATAATTTTTTCGCCAGCTAGCAACGATTCGCCTCCAGGCAACACACACAGAGATGTAACTTTGTCTTTACCAGACTTCCATTCTTGTTTTATGGATTTGTCTGATACACTCCATTGTGTAATGTGCTGATCTGCATCTGCAGAAAATAATCCAGCTTCGGGTGACCATGTGATCGCTGTGATACTGGACTTGCGATTGTTAAAGAGTGTGGCAGAGATACTCGCTGTCGATAAATCATAAAGTGTCACATTTCCATTTGACAAACCCATGGCAACAATTTCTTTTGTGGCATCTTCGACCATGGATGCATTTGACCTCCTCTTTCGTTTTTTCTGAGATATAGCAAAAAATATATCATAGTTAATTATAATTTGTGATTAACAATTCAAACCGATTGCTCTTTAAATAAACAGTCGCACATTTAAAATCATAACCCGAAAATAAAAACACGTGCTCTACACATGCGCAGCTTCATTTTTTCACAGGTAACTTCTCGCGAACGAGTTTTTTTAAACAATGACAACTGCATCGAAGAAAAAATGACGCGAGCAAGGATAATAATAAATAAATACGGTGAAAAACTTACCGCGGCAGAGGTGGAACTCGTGCCGACGACGAGCCATGTTAGCACGCAGTTCGGCGATGCCAAGTGCTCCCTCGGGACGAACTCTTGCTTCAGGCGATTCGAGGCTGTCTCCCAGATCTTCAGCGTGCCGTTCTCGTAGACGGCCAGGTACTCGCCACTGTGGGAAAAGGCATGTTGACAGGAGCCGGCCATTGTGCTTGTTTCCACTTGCGTTGTGCGTCTATAAACGTGGTAACAGATTTTTTTAATGTAATAAAAAATTGAAACTCGTGTTGCGGCGTGGAGCGTAACGAAAAAGTACAATTTTCCGATTTATCTCGAGTCGGTGAATTTCGTCGATGCCGGTGGAAGTGGAACACTCGACGCTTCGACAACAAGTGAATTAAATAATTGACGCGCGATAAGGAGTCATTCGTTATTTTTTTTTTTGTAAATAAAAAGCTACCGAACGAGCGTCGATCCTTCCTAACCTCACTGTACACACGCCGCGGTCTGCTCTGCGAGTGGAGATATATTACAAAAAAACCTATGTAAGCATTTACTTACCGGAGCGTAGACGCGGACACGGTTACACACTGAAAAACTGATGTAGCTAGCACGTGCTGCTGTTGCGGCGGCGCCTATGTACGGTATATACGAAGAAAAAAAGGCCGGCAATCGTGGAATCGGCATGCGACAGTGCGCAGCTGTCGAGCCGTAGCACGAGATGAATATGCGCGTACGGATTTTGAAAACGTAAAATGAGCCAACGCAAGAATTATGAGTTTATAAAAGACGGTAACATTTATGGAAATTGTTATTAATATTTTTGTAATGTCGAAATTATTGTAGAAACTTTATTTTTATAAATTATTGTTAAATTCATAAAGACATAAGGACGATTGATGAAAAGTACGTTCGAGAACTTCGTGAAAACTTTCGTTTATTTCAACAGTTTTGTCATCATAAAAAATTTACTTTTTTGTTACTGATTCATAGAAGTATGTGCGGCAGCATTTTCCATTTTGTATACACCGGATTTCTCTAATTTTAGCATTTTTGCAAAGATTTAATTTTCGGTGATACATTTTCATCGTGACTAGTGTTCTTTGTTTACATATTTTCTATAATATCGAACGCTGGTAAATTTATTATTAACCGTAAACTTGCACCATCACCATTAGATCCCCTTGGATTTGGACAAATAATTGTCAATTACAAATTTTGTAGACATTACAAATGAAATCATTACAATGAATTTTGAATATTTGAATGACCCCGATAGATGTTTTTACTGTTCCAAAAAATGTTGTATATTTTATCGTATCGCGATTTAAACCTTCACCACTAGATGCCGAGTATTTTTATATGTAAATCTGCAAGTGGCGAAGTCAAAATAAATGTATAAGTCAAAACACAGTATAATTATAAAATGTGTAAATGATTCCATTACATTAAATTTAATTAAATTAAATTTAACAAATTTAATTTCAAACTGCTCAAATAAAAAATTCGAATTAATTATCACCATCAGACTTACTGCAATCTATGATGAAAAATACTATAAGTAACTGAGGCGGTTGTCAAAATTGCACTCGTGTCAATGCTACCCACATAAACTATATGGAGCGCCTTAGACCGGTGAATTCGGTGACCCTCGCTACGCTCGGGCTGCAAATTGACACTCTTGCAAAATAGACAACCCTTCGCCTCAGTTACGCAATGTACTATTTTCACCCTTTTTCTCTTTTCAATCGAAAACTTCCAGTTAGATCTTGTTATGTTTAATGGGAAAGTTGTAGAGATTTGAAACACCTTCATAGTGAGCTCAAGAAGATTATTTGCTGAAAAAATCCAGGAAAGGCTTCGAAATGACCTATTTCATACATAAATTCGCCATTTGATTTTTTAAGACGTTCACACGCGGGCCCGAGGAAAACCAAGTGTTATCCTACAAATTTTCATTTCGTGATTTGTATGCCCAAGAAAACCGTACGATTTGGACATAAAATTTCTAGATTTATTCAAGTTAAGCAGTTTTTATAAAAAGTTTATTAATTTTTTTAAAACTTGAACGTTTTTGCAAGTAGCGAGATGGAAAATTATAAGAGAAACTCATTATACGAAGATAATTGTTTTTTTACAAAATTTATTATACATTTATCACATCATGATGCGTGGGTGAAGTTCTATATTAATGACAGTTATGAGCCTACTCATTTGTCTCAATCTTTTTTCAGGGTGTATTTTTGGACGTGTTAACATTTTTACAGAAATTTTTATGTGTGTGGATGTGTGTGCATGTATGTGGAACGAGTTTACTCAATAATGGGACGGCGAATGTATTGAAATAAACTGCATTTTTTGTCGACTGGGTTGAGGATGAAGCCTGAAAAAGTTCCATTTCGATTCATGTAATATTTTGTAAGTTATTAAAATTTTTGATTTTTTTTTCGAAATTTTGTTTAAATTTTTTTCAAAGGATGTAGTGATTCATTGAAGTTTTGAGCACATGTTTCGAAAGATGAGCAGTTAAACTTCCATTTACGACCAAAAATGTCAAGTTTCATCGATTAATTACATAGTTATATCGTGAAAATGAAAATGTTACTTTTCATTTTTCAAACTTTTTTTTAATTTTTACAAAGTTAAAGTGGAGTAACTTATTAAAAAATATGAGTAGTTATTTTAAAAACTGCACCAAAAATGACTAGCCTATTCTGTACAAATAAAAAAAATGCGAAATTGAACCTTACAACCCTTATCGATGGGCGGATTACATCGTAAAAACGAAATTTTTTTTCTCGAAAATCCAATAATAGATTTTTACACAGTTTATTATTTTCATCGTACAATAATACAAATGTTATTTGAAATTTAATAAAAATTATGCACAGTAACAAATATATATTACTGAAAAAGTACACATGGAATTCCTCGAGCTCCTTTGGCCTAGAAAATAATCATAGAAAGTTAAAATAGTACTATAAAATTGTTTATGAAGTTGAGGAAAAGATGATAATACCTTTGCGAATTGTATCACGTATTTTGGTTTTCTTCTTTTGCCGCGATTTCTGCCGCCAAGCAAATATTATATAAATCCTCATTGTTCAGATTCTGGATGATCAGCTCACAGCAACGAATTGACAATCGGTTGCGAGTCAGTTCCAAGAATGGGTCCAGTGCCCATTTTCGGAAAAATCCTGTAGACATTGTATCGGCCAAACGCAAATTAAATCTATCCAAAAAGCCTGTAATATTCTGGGTTGCACCGGGCCAGGGCCAGGTCCATGTAACTAAGAGCTTGTAGTAGTCCGTAGGCGTGAGTAGTTTCGCCGCCTCTTTGGGTCGTAATTTAATCAAGTCATTGAAGGACAGATTCGGATTTATCATCATTTCTTTCGCTTTGCTCGTGAACTGCCTACACTCGTAGCCGTTCGAAAATTTAAGTTGCCCAAGGCCAAATACAGAAGAAGAAGAAGAACATTCAAGATCCTCTATATTTTCAAGCAATATTTCCATAATTACCAGAGCGTCGCTTCGTTTTAGCTCGTATCCTCTTTTCTCGAGACTTTCGACGATGGACAGAGCACCATAATTTAGTTTCACGTGTGAGTTCATAACCGTAGAGCTCTCGTCGAAGTCACTCTCAGAGGGAAAACTGAAGCTAGACAGATCAGCCCCACGATCCAAAAGTACCTCGACCGCATAGGGCATAAGATTTGTCACAGCTAATTGCAGCGGTGTCCGACCTCTCTTGTCCCGGGCATCGACCTGTACCGTTTTATGAGCATTGTCGGTTATCTCGAAAAATTTCTTCAATAATGCCTCCTCTGAAGACCCAGTGCGACATAAGTTGTGCAGATAAGTCATCCCATTCTCGTCGGCCAAATTAGGGTCGGCTCCTCGCCTCAGCAGCAATTCGGCCGTTTTTTCGTGAAGCCTCAATGACTGAGTCAATTGCAACGGTGTTTGGCCCGACTGGTCCCGGACATCGATCTGCACCACTCGATTCACTTCGTCGCAGATCATGAAAAATTTTTCCACAAAACCATCATGAAGATTTCTCTGAGTTGCCCGGATAATTGAATGCAGAGCGGTAGATCCGTGCTTGTTTATCAGATTCGGATCCGCGCCTCTCCTCAGCAGTAACTCGGTTATCTTCTTCTTGTTATTGCTCTCCAGAGACGAATGCAGCGGTGTCTGACCGTCCTCGTCCAGGGTGTCGACCTCAACCGACCGATGGACTTCGTCACTCAAGTCAAAAAATGTCTCCAACATTATCATCGTCGATTTATCATCTTGTTGACATTGACACACTGCATGGTGCAGAGGAGTCCGCCCATCATTGTTGACTAAGTTCGGGTTGGCGCCGTTTCTCATCAGCACTTCAACCACCTCCGCGCAGCCTAGAAACAAAGCTGCGTGCATCAGTGTGTCTCCAAGCTCGTCCTGGGCGTCGTACTCTACCTTGTCATGTCTCTCGGCATAGATCTCGAAGAATATCTTCAAGAATCTCGCGAATTTTTCGTCCTGGTCTTTAATACTGCAAATTGAATGCAGTAGTAGCGGTAGCTTTTTGTCGATTAGCTTTGGCTCGGCGCCTCTCCGTAGCAACAATTCAGCCGTCTTATAGTTAATGCGTTGCAGAGCCTCGTAAAGCGGAGGGTTACCCCACTCGTCCAGGACGTTGACATCAACCACTTGATTCAATTCGTCGTTGATGTCGAAAAATTTCTTCAAGATCGTTGCGCGTTCCTCATCATTACATCCACTGCAAAAGTAGTGCAAAGTTGTCCATCCATTGTCAACAGCAAAATTGGGATCCGCGCCGTTTCTCAATAGAAATTCAACTACCTCGATGTTGCCGTGGCTCAGAGCCACCATTAGCGGTGTCCGGCCGGCCCCGCGGTGGGCGTCGATGTGTACCTTGCGATGTTTCTCGGCGCATATCTCGAACAATTTCTTCAGGAATGAAGCCCCTTTGCCATCGTCGAATTTAAAGCAAATCAAATGCAGCGGTGACCATCCATGCTCGTCACTTAGACTTGGATCGGCGCCTCTTCTTAGCAGTACTTCGGCCGTCTTAGGTAATAAGTTTTTCACAGCCGAGTAAAGCGGTGTCTCGCCGAAATTGTTCTGGGTATCAACCTGAAGCGGCTGATGAAATTGGTCGTTTATGTCGAAATAAAACTTCATATATGAAGCCGACTCTTCGTCGGGACCACCATAGCAAATCTTATGCAAAGGAATATCTCCTTGAATGTCGACTAAAGTGGGATACGCACCTTTTCTCATTAACAATTCGATTGCTTTCTTGACGCGGTATTGCGCTGCACAGTTCAATGGAGTAAAGCCATAATCGGTCTGGGCGTTGATATCGACCGGCTGATGTTGTTCGTCCATAAATTTGAAGAATAATTCCGCAAAATCGTCATCATATTCTCTCCAGCAAAAGTAGTGAAGAGGAGTGAATTCATAATTATTGACCACATGCAAAGGAGCCCCGTTTCTCAACAGCAACTCGGCCACCTCCTTGTGACCGTGCCTCAGAGCCACGTGTAGAGGCGAACTGCCCGTCAACGTCACGACGCAATTGATATTTTGGCCGAAGTCGAGGAATTTTTGGACGACATCCTCGCAACCAGTCATGCAGGCCACGTGAAAATGTGAATACCCCAATTCGTCGGTGTAATTAACGTCGAACCTATCGTATATTTTAAATAGATCACGTATCGATTCTTTGGAGAATTGGTAATCGTATGTTTTAGGCACAATATGCAATGGTGTGGTACGAAGCGACCGTTGCTCGTCGACTAGGGCCTCGCCTTTGTAACCGGTCCGAGCCACGAACCCGATGATTAATGAAGGTTCTGCTTCTCTACGGTAGTACGTCATGAAATCGGAGAGAAGCCAATCGATTTCTCCCGACCGAAAAATGTCTCGGAGATTTGGAAGTTCGTCCTTCCAATTTTCAATTAATTCATGAATTTGACGAAGCAGTTTGAATTGCCACCATTCATTCACACAGTTGATCTTTCTACGCGATATCATAAGGTCTTGCAAACGGTTTAGATCGCCGTGGGCCATCGTCGCTTGCACTCATGCACTAAACAATAGCTATTATTACTCAATAACACTCAATGCACGAGTGTGCATATGGTTATTTCTGAAGAACGAGCTAGGAGTTGCCCGGCACTGCAAGTCGAAGGTTATATGCTTGTCTCGAGTTTTTGAGAGAAAAAAATAATTTCGCACAACTTCGACACAATATTTTATAGCGCGAGAGCCTAAAACTACCCGCAAAATAGCAATTTTTACGTTAGATCGATAACAAATATTTGCTCTTTTCACGATTAACACTTGCTGCAGCCGACGCGATGTAACTCTACTTATATACGCAGCACGAAATGTGTTGCGTGTAATACACCAAAGCTACTTCTACATAACTTCGATTGGGTGAGACTTCGTTTGATCGGTTGTATATGTATAAGCGCAGTCATATGTGAGTATATGACTGCTACCAATGCCACCGCTTTAGTCGGAGTCAGCGCAAGATGGGTCCAGCGAAGTCGCAACTAATCAAAGTTCTGTAGAGGTAGCCTAAAATAAATCCGACTCGTCCGCCACATTTTTTAAACGAATTAAGCCGTGCAGCAAAGTAAAAATGTACACACAGCATGGCACGAAGCTGACTTCAACGTTTGGAAACATAGAGGATTTTGATGGACAATTTTTCGCTGTTACCATGTCTAGATCGAAACGAGAAAAATTATGAAAAGTACTTCATCTTATATTTTTGAGTGCTCTTTCATATGGTGGTATTTAAAATTGCGTAAATTAACAATTTGCAATTGTAATCGTTAACGATAAATTCGATCTTGTAAATGCTCTCCTCGATACGACTTTGTGTATGGCAAAAATGTATCAAAAAATCGATCGACTATAAGTAAAGAAAGTAAAAAAAAGATTTCACTCACTTGGCTGGTATTCTTCGTCAGTTTATTACCGACGCGTAAGTTGCGAAAAGCCTCCTGCACGTAGAGATCTTGCAGGTACATGAAAAGCCTACATTCTGATTATCCGTGTCGAGCAGGTCTCGTTCCAAAACTGCAACGACGAGATCGGACTCACTGAATAACGATTTTAGCGCAGATACAATGCACACTCTTGATTTACCTCCGAAGGTCTGTGGTATCGATGCCGAAAATCGCATTTCAATTTCAATTTAAAATATAAATCTTATTGAATGAAAGGCATCTTTTTGTATTGAGTTTTAAGGCAAGATCTGGGCTCAGAAGTGTGAAACCTCTATGCGACACGTGCATTCGACACTTCTTGTAATAAGGATGAAATTTTTACCAAGTAATTCGGTATCAAATAATTTAAGATTAAAGATTATTATTATTAGATTATTATATGAATACAATTTTTTTTGTATCTCTTGCTATCCCTTTAGTTAGGTGAAAGAAAGATTACCAACAGATTATGTGTATTTAATTTTTTTTTTTAATGGTTGCATTATTATAAAAAGTTTATATTTTTATAAACCAAATGTCCACTATTCAATCATGCTGAAGCATATTTATTTGAACGAATATATTATGTAAACTATAAATTACAAAAAAAAATCTTTATTAACTACAAGGCATACTGCGATTATACAAAAGTATAAAAATAAGCTCTTACAACTTGTCAGTCGATTCAAGTAAAAAAAGCACACTCACAATTGATTCATACCTGAGCAAACACTAGTTTTGTTTGGCTGAATCACACATTCATTAGACTAATTAACTCGATGTAATCAAACTAAGCTTTGCTCACACAAAATATTTTCACCACTTAGATACGATATCATTAACTCAAGAACTAATCTAAAACTTTAGAAAGATGACTTTGAAGAATCTTCAATTGATGTTTTGTTTCATCATCCAGGTGCAGATTATCAGTTAAGGATGTTTCATTAAAGGGTAACAATGAAATAATATTTCCATTTCTCAATGGTACATTAATATTGGCTGTTCTGTCATTGACAGTCGTAGAAACAAGAAGTGGACTCCCTTGGGTACTGAAAACCATTTCTCCATCCTTTGGTTTTCTCAGTACATTGATAGCAGAGTTGAGCCTAATTTTTGGAGTAATAACAAAATTGTTCATCGGTTTGCTCTGTGGCGTCTTCATCAATTCTTTTCTTGTTTTTTTCACAGCACTTCCTTGAACTTCTGCCTGATTCTGTCCATCCTTCATCATCATACTGGGATTGCGCTTAGACTTTCTATCCTGTGATATGCTTCTCGATCTTGCGGCTTTGTCTTGAGATGAGCTCCTTGTTCGTGCAGTAGTACGAGTCATATTGTTCATAAGCTTTGATGCTTGACTTGTCATTGATTCGCTTTGATAGCCATCATCCGAGGTAGCAGTAACTCGTTTACCAGCAGCGCTCGTCTTGCTGCTTGCGTTGCTGGCACTACTGGCAATGCTCTTGCTCGTTTTATTGGCCACCATACTTTTTTTCGTATTACTAGGAGGTATCCTTGGCGTTTTGGAGGGCAGATTTTCCTTCTCCGGGGTTTTATCGACTCTCAGCAATTCGCGAAGAGTCAAATTTTGAATTTCCGTGGGCCAACGATTGAGGGTGACTGCCACCTTGGAGACGAAATTTTTTATCCTCGTCTTGGCCTCGATCTCCTCCTTCTGGATCTGCAGCTGCACCAATCTATTGAAGTCGCGCATGATCTGCTCGGTGCCCGCACTCTGGCGTTTGACTTTTCGCTGCTTCGTGCGCGGCATCTTGGACTCGAGACTGAGATTGTACTAAACGATGCCCACTCCGTACGTAAATTTGATCAACTGCGAGATTCAACGCAGCGCACGATCTCTCGCTTCCAGATGCAGCAGCAGGCCTGCCTGCAAAATAAAACAAAAAAAAAAAGATGCAAAAATTCAGGGTTAGAAAGTCCTTGGGTTATTTGCACGCGACAAACAAATCGAAAGACGGATGCGACAGAGACTAACTTTTTTCATCCGAATGAAACTGGGTCGTTGAATTGCAGGCGCGATCGACGACCAGAGTCGCGCTTGTTTACAATTGCAATTGTCTCGCGGACGAGAAGCTTTATTTATTATTACACGAACACTCGCGGCACACGCGATCGAGTCGCGTTCGATGCGTATAAAATTTGGCGGTATGTCAGCCGGCCGGCACAGACACAACGGGCAACGACGTACTATACATACGCGTATCACTGGGACTCTATACACAAACCGTTGATTCTCTTTTCATACACACAGAACACAGCGACAGCACATAAGCCTGTCCCACAGAACACGTTTGAACTCGCGCATGCGACGTTGACGACGTTGCCAACGGTTTTTTAAATGCCGGCCCCTCAGCGCCGCTACATGAGCACCTCGCGAAAGCGCGATACTATGCTATACGTCGCGTTGTATTGGCGGCGCAGCTACCTATGGTATTGTGGTGAAATCGCAATATTATCGGCCGTGGCAGCACTACTCGAACGCTAGACTACAAACGAGTCGAGAGCGGAGAATCCAACGATGTGAACCTGATTTAACGATGATTCAAAACACTCCCCTCACCTTGCCCGCATGCGTTATTGTTGCGAGTCTGCTGCTGAGTATAGTATACGAAGCAGCTGACACTGCGTGGCTGCTGCTGTAGCTGGAGTGCGACACACATTTTCGATTGTGTACTTATCTCTCGTTGAACATTATAGTCGGCTCCAGTTGATGATCGTACAATAGTTTGGTATTGATTAACTACGGTAACTTGGTTAACCACCTCAACAGTGCATCATTGATTCTAGAAGTGAATAATTGTAAAAATGGTGAGCGAATCAATCAGTATGATTCATCTGTGTTTGCTAAAACTCCAATTGATTAGTGGGCTTGACACGAGTGAAAAATGTTCAAATTTTTTGATTATTTTATGCGCTGATTACAGGTTTCCAACTGCAACGACATTAAATTGTCTGGCCTGACACCAGATTTGTATTTGGAGAAACACATCAACTATATTCTATCGTACGAGTCAAAAAAGGATGATTATGTAATTTGAATTACTGTGATTAATTTATTTATGTACTTGGTGATTTTAATTAATAATGTTGTGTTATTTTTTATTCCAGACATACATTATGACTGAACACCTTAGAATATCTGGCATGTACTGGGGTCTCACAGCTTTAGATATTACGCATAATTTACACAAAATAGATAAAGAAGAAGTTTTGAGTTTTATAAAGCAGTGTCAGCATGAATGTGGAGGAATTGGGGCCAGTATTCTTCACGATCCACATTTGTTACATACCCTGAGTGCTATACAGATTTTGTGTTATTACAAAGCTTTGGACACGATTAACGTAGAGAAAGTTGTTGAATATATAAAAAACAGACAAAAAGACGATGGAAGTTTTGAGGGTGACAAGTGGGGTGAAATAGATACAAGATTTTCATTTTGTGCTATTGCATCTTTAGCTTTATTGAATCGTTTGAATGAAGTGAATATAGAGAAAGCTGTAAATTTTATTAAATCTTGTATGAATTTTGATGGAGGCTTTGGCTCGAAACCTGTAAGTGAGAGTCACGCAGGTTTAATTTACTGTTGTCTGGGCACATTATCTATTACTGGTATGATTAAATGAAATGCCAATGAATATTTTTCAAGTTGTAATTGTCAAATTTAATTATTGATGTATATTTATAGGTCATTTACACATTGTTAAGGCAGACGAACTGGGATGGTGGCTTGCTGAAAGACAACTGCCATCGGGTGGTTTGAATGGAAGGCCAGAAAAATTACCAGATGTTTGCTACTCTTGGTGGGTTCTTGCTTCCTTGAAAATTTTAGGACGTCTTAATTGGATTAATACCAACAAAATGGTATGACACTCAATATTTCACAACATTATAATCCCTTTCATTTATCTATTTATCTTAATTTTGTAACTAAAATTTCTAGATAAACTTTATACTGTACTGTCAAGATGCAGAAACAGGAGGGTTTAGTGATCGACCTGGTGATATGGTTGATCCATTCCACACTCTATTTGGTTTATCAGCATTATCGTTACTAGGATATACAAAAGCTGATTTGAAGACAATAAATCCTACATATTGTATGCCACAATATATAATGGATGAAATGAATCTGAAGCCTGACCGGCTGGATTTAGTAGAAAAAACAGACCATTTAAAGGGTTGGGCTGGGATCGAAGAAGACTAATAATGTGCTTTAGAATTTTAGACACCCATTTGTATATTTGTATTGAATAATAATTTGAATGAAGCTGTAAACGAAACACAGTATTTAATTATTTAGCTGATTTATTAGTTATTCATATTGTAATGACGTACATGCTATTGTTATTCATTGTCTAGTGATAATCCGGTTGAGTTTTGACAATGTTGTTAGTCAGTAATTTACTCTTTTGAAATATACCTAAGATTTATATAACATAGGTCACATGTTAGTCATTTGACGCAATTTTTCCATCTTGCTCTACCGTCATTAATTAGGTATTACTTTTTTTTTTCTTTATATGATATACAGTAAGACATTAATAGTTTTATGCGTCTATCAGCCTCGCTCGTTATTACATTAATGTTTAAGAAATAGAAACTCGGCAAATAGAAATTCTTCGACTTTACATTCGCATTTTTATAAACTAATTCGACGATTTTATCATCAGTTTTATCTTTAATAGTTTTTTTGCGTTTGTTACTTTTAATTTTTAATGGAGCATTTTAAAATTAATAAAAAAATCTCATAATAAATTGTTATTCCTCGTCAGAAGAATATCATAACGCATGTATTTATACTCTAAAGAAATAACGTATTGTATTGGTTGGTCAACTAGAAAAACATTTTTCTCCTTCGTAATACGAAATTTTTTTTTCAACACATTAATTCTTTTATTTCAACAAATAATACTCCGTTTTCATAGGGTACTACATAAACGGGACATTGGCAAGTACTTCTTAATATTTTTGTTCCAACCAGAGAACTACGACTAATGCCCTAAAGGATTCTCTGAATCAACTCATTATCCGTCGATCGTTTTTCTAAAAGTTGATTACATAAAGGTATTTTTTCATCTTTTATCAATTTCCGCATCATCGAATCTCTTATGGCTTTTTTTTTTGTTTTTTTTAATTATTTTTTTGTATGGACGATTCACAATTAAATGTCCACAATGCGCCGCACAAGATCTTACAAAGTAATTTCAGCGACGGGCCTTGTGCTAGGTAAAAGCGACTGAAGGAAGCAAAATTGACACGAAAATTTCATTGGTCTGTTGGTATTATACTTTCAGCTTGGCGAAACGTTAACTTTGTGATTCGAATGACATTTTTCATGCCAAAAAGAGAAAAATGAAGTAAACCTACGAGTACACATAGAAAAATATTATTCACATCTGAAACGCCTCAAAAATCAAGAATACAAAGCTACTACGTTTCTTATATAAAAAGTATTTCATCTACAAATACTTATTTTTTTTTTATTTTAAAAAAATAATCACGATGACTATGAGGCTACTCATGCTTGAAAGTATTTTGTAAGACTCAATTTTTTTGTCGTTTTGTTTTTTTTATTATACTAAAAAAGTGGCGTTACTAAATTAGTTATTGTATTTTTCTTTTTTATTTTCTCTTATCTATCAACCCCGTTTCCTCCTCTTTTCTTTCTCTCTCTCTCTCTCTCTCTCTCTCTCTCTCTCTCTCTTGCTCTTTTATAAGGGAAGACACGTGAATTCTCATGAAATTCGCTCTTTTATTTTCACAAAATTGAACAGTACCTTGCCATAGAGTAATTTTCAATTTTTTTTTTATTTCTCGGTATATAAACGGACAATTCTTCGATGAATTTTTGTGCATTTCTTGGGCGATCTTAAAAAAAATAATTACAGCTTTGATGCAAGGCAATTATTGATTGATTCTGTTTTTTCATTTTATTTTTATTTCGTAAACGTTTTTGGTGGATTATCCGCGTATCGACACGCTCGTGGTAGAAAAAAAAAAGATTCAGTAATAAACCAAAAGGTCCAAGTCGTTTTTCCATCTTCATCGAAAAATTATCACACTCGCGCGTCGCACAAAATACGCACACAACGTATTATTACCCTTACGATTAAAAATTTGATGTACGCGTCCGATTATTCGTATTTATAATAATTTTATCATTATTGAGATTTTTTCTGTTGCTGTTGCTAGTGAAAAAGAAAAAATTTTTGTGCTATTTTGAACACGTTTCGTTGTGTCGAATAACAATTTTTGTTTTGGTTTCTGTTCGCTCTTCCGCTCGGGGAATCGAGTTTTGGGAAATCGTCGCTCCTCGACACACACACCGCGTCAAGTTCAAATTCATACATACGAATCTATATAAACGATGAAGTTTCTTTTATATTCAAATAAAAAACTTAACAATATTTAAGTAGATAAGCCTCCGGACAAGGGGACTCGATCACATCGAATCGTTTCCGGATACATAATGGCAATAAAAATCACGTAACTGGAATAATTACATATAGCATTTTCTTTTTGTTTTGTTTTTTAGTGTTTTGATTGACAATTATCGACACAAAACACCTCGATACGCAATAAAAAACATTCAATATTCATTGTAGTAATGTACAAATCGAGTCGTCGTTAACGTTTTGTTTTTTCTTAGCATACAGTGTAACATTATAATATCCATTTTTATTTTTCATACTCGTTAACAAATCATCATTTCGCTACTTTATTATTTTTTTTGGTTTCAATTTTTTCTCCCTTTTCTCTTTCTCTTTAATAATTCTTAAACTTGGAGTACAAAAAGGCTAAAAACTCACTCTCTGTACAGCTCCGCGGGGCCACGCAATTATCACCGAGAAACGAAACGATATCGGCTTACAAATTGATCGTTCTATCTAACGTATACGATAAAATTTATAATATATATACGAAATAGACATTATACGGAAGTATAATAGCAACGATAAAAGCTGTATCATCGTTATTACAAACGTAAACGCGGCGAGCCAAGTTTTTTTTTTGGAAAACATATTTTGACTTTATTGCCTCTCTCTGTCTCTCATTTTTTTTTTTTTTTTAAACGCTATCTACCGTACATTCGCAACTGGTTTTTTTTTTTTGACTTTGGAGCATTCATTTGGCCTTTGTTTTGTTGTGCTTTCGCAACGAGTCATACACACACACACACACTCGTCATCGTACGACGATGGATTCACTTGCCGCGATAGATCTCGATGATGCGATCCTGATCGACGTACTCGAAGATGTGGGGCGCGTCCATGAGTATGCCGATGGTGCCGATCGTCGTGACGACGAAGAATATGTACAGCTGCAGGCGATCGATCACCATGGCGACGTACTTCCAGTCCTCGCGCGTCTGTATGTACAGGTCCTCGTTGCGCAGATGCTCGGCGATGAACTCGACGGCCTCGGTGGCCTTGGCCGCCTCGGGACTGAGCAGGACCGAGTCCGAGCTCTCGGAGCCGCGACGATCTTGGAGTGCCTCGCTTCCAGGTCCACCCGCCTGCGACGAACCGCCGTGCTGGATCTTACGATTGATCTTGCAGTTGGGATGGTGCAGATCGGACAGCTCCATCATCTCCATCTTGGCGGGCTTGGTGGCGGCGAGCGAGGCGGGCAGATGCTTGGGCAGCTCCGTGGGGCTGCCCGAGTACGTCGAGGTGGGCAGAGTCACGTTGGGTATCTCCATCATCCAGCGCAGTCGGGTCTTCTTCGGGCGACGCATCAGCAGTATGGCCGGCAGTATCTTGAGGAAGATGCGCCTCGTCATCTGGGGCATGCGATGGGTGCGCGGGCCCCGAAAGTTCCAGTTGATGATGATCACCGTCACGAGGATGCTCACCGTGTTCATGATGAAGGTGAACAGCAGATACTTGGCTATGAGGGGCAGCACCAGCGAGGTGGGCGGCAGGATCTTACTCACCAGTAGGAGAAACACGACCAGCGACAGGAGAATGGAGATGCCGAGGGTGACCTTTTCGCCGGCCTCGGCGGGCAGATAGAACACGAGCACGCAGAGAAAGGAGATGAGCACGGTGGGCAGAATGAGATTGACCGTGTAGAAGAGGGTCTTGCGCCGGATGATGATGTAGAAGGTGATGTCGGTCTCGGTGGGGAACTCCTCGTAGACGTTGAGGAACGCGGGCACGCTGATGATGTCCCAGGTGCCGCTCTTCCAGTAGTCCGACAGATCGACGAAGTTCTTGTCGTTGTAGAGGGCCAGCGAGACCTGGTCGCCGTTGAAGGTCCACGAGCCGAACTTCATGATGCAGGTCTGCTGGTCGAACGGGAAGTAGGTCACGTCGATGGTGCAGGAGGACTGATAGATGGCGGGCGGGACCCAGAGCACCTCGCCGTTCGGATAGATGAGGACGTTGCTCTTGTAGCGCACCTCGTAGTTGCCGTCGGCGCTGCGCGCGGGCGAGAAAAAACAAACGGTACATTATACGTATCTTGGGGTGCGGTTAAAGAAATGTATAAGCTAAATATCACGCTCACTTGTTAAAGAGCACGATGTCGGGCTTCCAGACTTTGTCGGGCGGCAGTCGCAGCACCGAGATCCCGCCGTAGTCCGCCTCGTCCCACTGCAGCTGGTAATCCATCCAGACGAAGCGCAGCCACACGTTCGACTTCATGATCTGGTTTTTCTCGTTCTAAGGACGTCGGATAATTTTAACGAGAGAGAAAGAAAAAATTTGGTTATTTTTAGAAATATTACGATGATGATGAAAATGAAAATTTTTAGAGAGATAGATAGATAGATAGATAGAGAGGAAGATGAATTCGAGATTTGACATATACGCGCGCGCGCGTGTGTGAGAGTGCATAACATGAATAAAGAAGGAGTTAGGGCATATAGGAGTAGGAGAAGGAGGAGGAGGTGAGGGTGGATGCGAGAGAGAGAGAGAGCGAGTGAGATAGAGAGATTGAGAGAGGGTGAGGGCGAGGAGGGCACCTACAACACGCCCTGTATGCGACACAATCGGCCCCGTACGTTAAGCTGAAGGGGGTAAACAACGAGACGATGAAAAAAAAATCCTCGGATTTTTATGATCGACCGATGCTACGCGTGATTTTTGACGAGAGCTTATATACATAAAATTGAAAATTGTTATACTCACGACGTTGATGAGCTGGACGAAGGCGAGACCAAATTTGACGTTGACGGTGTCGGTCATGTTCTGCACTGGCCTGATGAGTTTGTTGTAGCCGCGGAAGAGATCGCGCACCAGCCTCTCCTCGTCCTCGGAGCACAGTCCTGCTCGACGGGGACAGAAAAAAAACACACACATACACACGCATTATTCACTTATGTAATCTCGATCTTCGACACTCGTTTTGCGGGAGGGTGGTGGTGGTGGTGAGTAGCGGTTCAAGGGATACGAGTCGACGGTTGAAATGAAAATTTAAAAAAATTGATAAACACAAGATCGATCGAGGAGGAGGTGGAGGATCGTGGTTTTAGCGGGATACGAGGTGAAAGCGAGTGATTTTCATTTTTGTTTTTGTTGTTGTCGTTCGTTGTCGTTGTAGTTGTTATTTGTTGACTCACCGACGCAGAGCAGCGCCGACACGAGGACGTAGCTCCAGAGCTGCATCTTTCCTCGGGCGGGAGGAGCCCGTTGAACGGACCCGCGCGCGGACGATAACAACTACACAATTATTATTATTATTAGTCGACGCAACGAGGATCCAACGACGACGTCGACGACGACGATGTGCGAGGCACCATCGATGGGGCGGTTCGGGCGTGTATCAAACCCTACGTAGCAGTAGCAGCAGCAGCAGTTATAGTTTGGCCAAAGAGGAAGAGAGTAGTAGTGCGCGAGAGAGCTCGAGAGAGAGAGAGAGAGACCAGAAGCCCTCCCCGAGGAAGGGGATCAATAATAGCGCGCGCAGCTTTTTCGCAAGCACAGCACCGTGAGAGGGATGCAGAGAGAGAGAGAAAGAGAGAGAGAGAGGAGTACTCCCTAGCTATGGATGCGAATGCAGCTTTACCCATGAGCGCAGCGAATGGAATATCTCGGGCGTATAGTGTGTGCAGCGAGTTATCTCCCTGTGGAATTTCTAGCTTGCCGACGACGGGTGTTGAAATTCAATTTTATTATATCGTAAAGCGAGAGTCTCGCGGAGAGATGGAGCAGCCGTTGACGTTTTAATTTCTACCTCGTACTTACACGATCGCATATAGAACAGAATGCGATACTCAAGAGTTCGATGTAAATTGTAACGAGCGTGTCTTTACTACATTCGTCCTTGGCTCCCTTTTGTCTTACGGAAGTTCGTGCGTCGCAGCTGACTCCCCCCCAGGCGTTTCGACACTTGTATTTACACCATCGATCTCGTACAAGTTTTGCCAAAGGCACACATGTAGTTTTTCCGTATACCCGGCGCATATCTATTATGCAGCGTCAACTCGCGCGAATATAATGACTTACGCGCGCGGCCGACCTGCTGCTGCTGCTGCTCCACTCGCCTGCAATAAATATATGTATAGAAAGAGAAAGAGAGCGTATGTATGAACTCGATACGGTTCGAGTTTCGGCGGACGCCGCAGGACGATCGCAGGAGAGCCGAGAGACAGGATCCACGCGCCGGCGGAGGATATATATATATATAGGCTTCGGAAAGCGAGCACAACTGTCGCGCGCCTCCGTATAGTCAATTACTTTTAGCTTTTGTCCTTTTCCTATGGTGTACTATATATACAAAATGTATTACGCGTGGCCGGTGCATGACATCGCGTCGATATCGGACGATGGGCACGGCGTGTATATACAGCATATCGGATTTCATCGAAATATTGCGAGGCTCCGAAAATTCGAGAGCCGGTGTCGCGAGCGTCTGTTGCCGCAGCAATGAGCATCGGTCATCCGGTTTGGACAGTGTGCCACGCGCGCGAAACTGGCAAAGTGTATATGAGATAGAGGAAAAGGTCGTTATTTATCGTCAAAGATCCCTTACTGCTTATACAGTGTTAAAAAAAAAAACTTGAAAATAAAGATTTAATGTAAAATCAGATGTATTTGAATAATCAGGGTACATGAATTGAGCATCAAAAATATGAATGAATTGTGCGCATCGTTTCAATGCACAAAGGAATAAAAAGAATTTAATAAACAATCCGATTGAATATCAACGTTTCATTGATTGCCCGAAAAGTTGAACGAAAAATTCAATCGCATACGTATAAGTCAGCCTTCGCCGCTAGATGGCGAGGGCCGTAATCTGGAAATCTGCAAGTGACAAAGTAAAAGAACGACCATATATATATACGGATCATTTTTGTCTCTATGAATCCAATCCGCACTATGTTTGAAATGTCACTTATACTCTCGACACAACTCGTTTCGCGAACGAGGAAGGAAAGAGAGGAAGAGAAACGACTGGGATTGCGGTTGACAGGTATTAATGAGCTTTTCGCCGTTGTAAAAGACCAATTTGTATCGTTTGTATACAATCTCTACTTTATTGAAGAATACTCTATATCGAACAAATAATAGTAATAAAAGAACGAAACATAATTATTCATTGGTAACAGTAGCTTATCTCGTTTAAACACTGATCTTTAAGTAATTTATCATTGTAAAATATCGTCTATCAATATAAAAATCATTTATTCATTGATATTAATTATAAAAAAAATGTCTCCTTATCTGTCTATCTAGGATCACACAGTTTAAAATTTTCATTCACTCGTCGTCATAAAATCATTCGTACTATTCCAGCTTGGCTGTACAGTCGACGAGTCCATCATTACTTTATAAGTTTTGAGAAATCACTCAGCAGGTGTCTGAATTTCCTCCGTCGTCGCCGGAATTCTGAATCTATAAATCATGCTCGCTGCTCGTTTACACACACACACACACACACTCGTTCCATCTGAGTATTCTTATCAATGATTTAAAAAATATTTGTATGTACAATTTTTTTTTTCGCTTACAAATTAAAATAAAACTACAATTACAATTAGAAAACAAACAAAAAAAAATGCGAAAAATGCCACACGAGTCATGCAAAATAGCTCTGGAACATCCCACGCCGACGTTCATGCGTAAACTAGAATGTGAAAAAAGTTGCTTATTCGATATAATGACGCGCGATAATCCGTTTCTTTTTTTTTCAGTCTTACAATCGAGATGTTTCGCGGATCCCGCGATCGGCATTCGACTTAATACGCGTTTACAAAAAAAAATGCTACACGTCGATTTTTACACGAACACACATACCTATACGCATTTACAACATCTATCTATGTATAAAATATTTCTAATTTATTTCGTAAAAATTTCCTTTGGTCCTTGAACGAATGTGTCGGTGCCTTTTTTTTTTATTCTCTCGTATAATCTCTTCCCTCGGCATCGCGTGGTAGGTACCACACCGTGCTTAGTCATCTGTACAACACACGCACACACATCCTAACGATTCGCATAAGTCATGATTCCGTTTTTCTTCTCGTTTCTCAATATACACGTTTATATAATAATGATAAAAAGAGGATCGAGAAGAATTTAACATCTTTACACGGATATCTGTCTAGATATAAAATCTATGTATTATTTACACGCGAGTCATGCCCATCGTCGATTATCATCGTGATTCTAGGCGATGATCGATATCCTGCCAAAAAAAAAAATATGCTCTCTCTCTCTCTCTAGACGGTCGTGCAGTGCGGCGCGATGAACGTCGGACTGAAGCTCAGCTTGGCCGCCGCCGCCGCCGCCGCCGACTGACCATTGTGATTGTGATGATTATGATGATGATGATGATAATTATTGAGACCGTTGACCGTGCTTATGCCAATGACGCTGCCGTTGATGATGCTCGTGGACGCCTGGCTCGACGTGGGCGAGGTGCGATGGTGCTCGTCGATCCACGTGATCCTCGTCATGTCGGGTTTGGGCAGGGTCGGTGGCGGCACCTTCTTCATCGGTGCCGGCTGCTGTTGCACCGGGGGTGGCTGCTGCTCGAGTCGATGCAGAACAGCCGGCGACGCGTCGTTGCCGTTGCTGCTGTCGTTGTCGCTCGTGCTCGTGGCCGCCGTCGTCACCGTGGCCGTGTCGATGCTACCCTGACCGCCGCCGATCGTGCCGTTACCCGCCACTATCGTCGTGGTGGCGGTCGAGCCGTTGGTGCTGCTGTTGCTACTACTACTGCCGCCGCTACCGCTCTCGACGTCCTTGGCGTTGTTGTGAGGCATGGCGTAGCGCAGCTTCTGCCAGAACCACGGATCGCCCCACTGTATGTACGTGTTGGTCTGCAGATAGGCCGCCAAGTCCGCATCGAGCGCGTCCCTGGGGCCGATGTCGCCCTTGAGTATGACTATGAGACGCGAGCGATTCTCGGCCAGGGCCTGCTTGTGGGCTGCCTGAAACTCGAGCTTGCCCCAGTCGCTCTCGACGAAGCTCTTGCTCAGCACGATGAGGGTGCGTCTCGACTGCTCGACGCTCTTGTAGATCTGGTCGGATATCCACTCGCCGGCGCACCAATCGCGCGTGTGTATGCAGAGCTTGTAGGGTCGCGGGCCCTCCTCGAGCTTAGCGACCAGCTCCTTCACGACGAAGTCCTCGTCGCTGTGCGAGTAGCTGACGAAGGCGTCGTAGATCTTGTCCTGGTCGAGCTCGGCCTCGCTCACCAGGCACATGCAGAGACTCTTGGAGAACAGCCAGATCTTGATCTGACGCTGATACTTGAAGAACAGGGCCAGGGAGCAGCCGAGTAGCAGCGCCAGGGCCGAGACGGCCGAACAGACGACGATGAGGAGGGCGTTGGGCAGTGCGGGGCACAGCTCGCTGATGGATATGTCGAGGAGGGCCTGATCGGTCTCGCGACACCTGATCTGTCGGGGCTCGACCAGACGGGCGCGACGATTCTGATGATGCTGCTGCTGCTGCTGCGAAGACGATGTTCTCGACGTAGTAGTCGCGGAAGCCACGGACAGCTGGTTCGAGCCGCTGTTGGACTGGACGAAGGCCAGCAGGTCGCGGGCGAGACAGCTGCACGACCAGGGATTGTCGTGGATGCCGAGGCTGGTCAGCTGGCTGGAGTTCGCCAGGCGCTCCAGCATGGACTTGTCGATGCGAGTCAGGTTGTTGCCTTCGAGCCGCAGCGTCTGTGTCGAACAACATAAACGATCATTGTATTAACGATGAGTATTACGAAAAAAAAAAAAAATGATTTGTATCGCGTGTGTCGAAATTTAAAAAATTCGTAATACACATGCTGCTATACAGTGACGCGGCGGTTTTTCACACCGAGATTTAACCCGCGATTTTGATGTGTATCACAGCCGATGTATGTACATGTATACATATTCGCCTGTCTGTCAGTGAGTATATATGTAATACGTAATGGCATTTACGGTGGGCTTTGATCGATCGATCGATGGTATCCAGCGCGCGAACGTGTATAACGGATAATGTACTACACTATGTATATAAATATAAAACCATCGATCTAATTGACTTTCGAGAGCGCTCGAGTTTTTATACGTACTCGTAATCTGTTATTCTTTTTAGTCTTTAAAGCTTTTAATTGATTCATCTTGTTCTGTTTTTTTTTTTTACAGTGCCGAGATTCGTTTAGTAATAATAATAATAATTAGTAAATCGACGGGTATAACACGAACCTTGAGCTGCGGCGACAGCAGAGTCTCGTCGATCTCGGATATCTTGTTGCCGGCCAGATTGAGACTCGTCACTTTCTCGTAGCCCTTCTTCCTGTGCATGCTCGGCGCCTTCGTCAGCTCGTTGCCGCTCAGATCCAGCTCGACCTTCTGCACCCTCTGGTCGGCGGCGTCGATTATCCAGTCGGGCGCCCGTCTCAGTCCCCGCGAGCGGCAGTCCAGCAGCAGGGCCTGATCCTCGGGCCTCAGCCAGCAGGCGCACGCCAGACGAGCGTCGGGCGAGCACGGGTCACCCGGTCGGGCCTCCGGGCTCTCCACGAGGCACTTGAGGTCGCGGGCTCGTTGCTCCCCGACCAGCCGACCCCGCGCGTACTCGGGACCGGCGCAGCTGAGATTGCCCGGTCGCAGGTGCACGTAGTTCTGCACGTTGGGGTGCATGTCGCCGTTGAGATAGCGCAGCAGCTCGTAGATCTCGCAGTCGCAGCGCAGGGGATTGGCGGCGATGTCGACGTAGACGTTGCGCGGCTGCGACTGATTGCCGGCGATGGACTCGAGACGGGTGAGGACGATGCGCGAGATGTTGTTGTGGCGAAGGTCGACCGTGAGCTCGTCCGAGACGAATTGCAGATCCTCGCTCTGGAGATAGTTGAAGGCGTTGTACTTGAGATCGAGGAGTCTGAGACGAGTGTTGCCGATCAGCCAGTCGCTGTGCATCTCCGTGACGTTGTTGTGCGCGAGATGAAGCTCCTCCAGCGAGTGGCAGTGATGGAAGGGCGACAGCAGGCCGAATACGTCGTAGAGGCCGGTGCGCAGTGTCAGACGGTTGTGGGCGAAACGGGCCACCTTGAGGTTGACGAGGGAGCGGAAGGCGTCGATGTGGATGTGCTGCAGGTCGTTGCTCTCGAGGTTCAGGTACTCGAGCGACTCGAGGCCAAGTAGGGTTTTGCTGCGGAAAATATTTTTTATTCAAAATTCACATGCAATAGTTTTTGAACAAAGACATGAACGTTATTATACTCACTCGGTGAGACTAGTCAGATGATTCTTTGACAGGTCCAACCTAATCAATTTGCTCGAAGCCTCGAACAGTCCATCGGGCAGCTCCTTGATGTCGTTGAACGACAGACTCAGGCTCTCCAGCGCCGCCGTATCTCTAAACAGCTGCCTGGGCAGCGTCTGCAGGTAGTTGCGATCGCAGGTGAAATTGTGCAGCGCCGCGCAGCCCCAGAGCAGATCCTCGGGCAGTCGATGCAGACCGCTGCGAGTGACGACGATCTGTCGCAGCTCGGCGAGTCCGGCGAACAGCCGCGAGGGCAGATCCGTGAGATTTTGCTTGTTGTGCAGCATCTTGATGCTCTGGACGCGCGGATTATGGCGGAACAGGCCCTCGGGCAGCGAGCTGAAGTTGTTCAGGCCGAGATTGAACTTTTCCACGTTGACGAGGTCCTATAATATATTACACGAATGAAATATGGATAGACGAACGCAAGGTGGCGAATGGGCGAAAAGTCGATTAAGATCTATATACGATCTGTGGTCTATATGAGCAGCAGCAGCAGGTCTCGTGGTATATATAAGCCATATGTTGTATCAAGTAGCGATGCGGTGTATATAATACGGTGAAAAAAATAACAAAACTATCCGAACAATAAGTACACGCGGTATAAGCCCGGTAGCACGATGATACGTACCTTCGACCCCCCCGCCATGGTAGCCATGGACGTCGGCACACGATACATAATGCATGTAATCGAGTGCCCGTAAGAGCGTAGCGAGATAAAAGAGAAAAACCAAACGAGCTTCTGCTGCTGCCTAATATTAAAGACGACTTATGGTGTATATAAATATACGCGCGCGTCTAGTCTCCGTGTGTGTTTGTGCCTTAGGTACACACATAGACACGTGAGTGCGCCCTGGCACCGCCCCGCTATTCAATTACATTTAGTTATATTATGTGTGTGTGCATTGAATCTCGAGTCCCCCTTTTTCCCTTCTCTCTCTCTGCAGCGTCGAGAAGAAGAAGGAAACAAAAAGAAAGAAACAACATCACAGGACCTACATATATATATAATGTATATGTATACCCTGTGTTAGCGAGCGCGCGCGCCGCATCGCATATGCCAAGCGGGAGCCTTTGAGGGATTATATACAAAACAGTGCGCGCAAACGCACACACAGAGATCGCCTATATCAATAACTGCACGCGCGTATCAAATTTTCTTTTTAATAACAACGATACGTATGTATGTATGTACGCCTACCTTGAAAACGTCGGCCGGCAGCGTGGTCAGCTTGTTCATGGTGAGATCCAGGGTTCTCAAATTTTCCAGGCCCTCGAACACCCCGGAATCGAGTCGCTCCAGTTCGTTCTTCCAGAGCACGAGCATCTCGAGATTGCCGAGGCCGCGAAAGACACCCGAGTCGATGCGACGATAGCCGTTGACGCCGAGCTCGAGGGTCTTGAGCTGGCCGCCCACCGGACCCGTCGCGAACATGTCGCGGGCCAGCGGGATCTGAGTGTTGCGCAGCTCGAGGAATTCCAGCGAGTCGAGATCTGTAAATGTATGTGCGAGGACACATTGTTTGAGTATCTCGTGTGAGAAAGTTTTTCAAACGCGAGAGACGCCGCAGGGGGGTTTCTATATATATATATAGGTACGATGCAAATGTGCATAATGTACCATTACAGCGACAAGTGCTGTACAACAACAACAACAGCAGTGCGTCAAGTGTGTGTGTGGCAGGAAGCCGCCTGCGATATCGCTAGATTCTCTCGAGGTTTTTCATTATTGTTATACAGTCGCGCTCGCTCGCGAGAGATAGATGCCACCCCGATTACATTACAATTATACGTATGTTTCTCTTAAAAATTTTTCGCACGGCACACATGCGCCGCAGAGAAGACACGAAGACACGAGATTTCGTTTTTTTTTTTCCGCGCCTTCAGATAGATATATGCATCTTCTATATACTTTACCACTAGTTTTCGCAGTTGCGTAAAAGGTTAATTGAATTAACAGGTCGCGTTAAGCGCGTGCGCGATGTAGAAATTTTCGGCTTTACTATATTCTGCTGCTGTTGCTGCTGGGAATGAGGCTCGATTGATTTCTAATCGCGTTTGGGCATACAATGCGCCGCTGTGAGAGCAGTATACGAAAATGTTTCGCGCGCGCGAACGCGGTCAATTTTATACGCGCAGACAAATGAAGGAAATCCTCGTCTGCTCTCTACCTCGTTTGCGTAAATTATCAACGTTAAATTATATGTATTCCTATTTGGTGCGTACGATTAGAAAGTTTCTTCGATTTATTTTTGTATCCATGCGTTATTAATAAGTCGCGCGCGATCGTTTATATATACAAAATGATATACGTCGTAAATCGCGGTCGGGTTAATTATCCGGGGCCCCCCCAAAAAAGCAAAACAAAACGATAAAGAAAATGAAAGTTTCAGGTGTAGTATATCCATCAATAGCGTTGGCAAATTGGCCAATCACCGAGCTAGGTCGAAAAAAAAACAACAAAAAGTAATCACCTTGAAACAGTCGATCCGATTCCACCTGGCTCAGGTCGTTGTCGCTCAGCAGCAACTTCTTCATGCTCGGATACGCGGCCAGATCGCTCCTGCTCAACGCCGTGCGATTCCTCATCCTCACGAATCTCAGCAGATCCACCGAGTCGACGCCGAGGATCGACGCGACTCGGCCGGCGTCGCGCGGACCCGGTGGCGAGCACGAGACGAACAGCAGCGAGCGCACCGCACCTATCTCCAGCGGCTGGCCGAGCATGAAGTCCTTCCAATCGGGCTCGGAGCTGCACTCGACGGCCAAACGATCGTGACGTTGCAGTTGGAGATCGAACGCCTCGGCGGAATTGTTGGCGTTGGCGGAGCAGTGGACCCGGTGCTCGCCCGGCAGCTCCTCGAAGCAGTAGCATTGGCGATTGTCCGGGCAGCTGAAGCCCCGGCACGATTGGATCGCGCACAGAAGCAGCAGCAGCGGCGATAGAGATGCGATCGGTAGTAGTCGGCGCTTCATGATGATTGTGTCTGTAACGAGAAAAAAAAAATAAGACGTTTTAAAGAGAGACGTTCCGAGACGCTATATCACTAAGTAAAATACGCTTATACATTTATAGAGACACATCCTATACGGTAAAAGCAATTGCAGACGAGCAGAGAGCCCTTAATAGTTCCTCTTTAGAGCTTCATCCGCCCATAAACCGTACGTATATCCACCATATCTAACGGACGAGCAGCAGCGGCACAATGTATAGATTGGCCTGATCGACCGTTGCGATATATATAAATCGTTGCGTCGCGTAAATGCTATACACATACATCGTCCGTAACGTCTTTAACGGCGGAACGACAGGCACATCCTTGTGTATAACATTAATAGTCGTTTAAAAAGACAAGACGATCGCGACTATATACTTTCTGAAGTGAGTGAGTGAGAGATCGTGTGTCGGTACTTGAAGATCTCGGCCGGGCACGGGGCAAGAGCAGAGAGAGGAAGCGAATCTGCGGATCGTCGTATTAGCTCGGAATCGATCGATATATGGGTGTATGAAATGTCGCGTGATATATCAAAAAGTACTTTAGATGTGTTCTTTCAAGAGCCATGTCCGATCGGTATAGATTTTAATATATGAACACTTGAGCTACTACTCGATGTATACGCGCGTCGTCGAAGAGGGGAAAATTTCGTTTTCTACGAAATCTAGCGAGTATCCAGGCGCTCGCGCGCAAATTTTTTTCCACTACAAAAAAAGGTGCAATGAAAATCTATACGCGCTATATAAACGCATAAAGGCAGATATAAAATAAATCGGCACGCGGAGTGAGAGTGCACGACGGCGAGAGCATATATATTTACACATATCGAGTTCTCACGCGCCCTGACGTACGTATATAGACGCATTATCGCAAGTGCAAAAGGCGGCGGCGGCGTCGGGCGCCGAAAGAAAAATTGCGCGGCCAGCAAAACTTTCATCGGGTACGCGTAAGTTTATTTATATATTCCTTGGTGTATAATATGCATACGCGCACCGGCCCGCAGCCGCGCCACGACCAACACCTATTATAAATATATGTTCGTGTATGTGTGTACGTGTATCGAGAGTAGAGAGAGAGGCATGCAGTAGTGCACCTGACGTTGCAGTGCATTGAAGCGTAAATGCGCGCGCCTATATATGAAAATATTATATATACGTACGGGAGAGAGAGAGATACGGGGAGATATATATATCGAGAGGCAATTACATGCAAATACGATATATGCGCGCGTATAAAATTTTTCTCTGTGAGATCGGCTGCTACTGCTGCGAAAGAGAGAGAGAGATGCTGGACGCATTTATAAAACGTTACATTCATATTTATGCATACTCGTAGAATGTTATAAAGTTTGAAAAAAAAGAGAAAGAGAGAGAGAGACGTTTTCATATCGGCAATCGAAGCGTGCGATACGTCAAAACGATACACATATACATAAACATTTTTCTTTGACGAGAGATAGATGTTGTAGTGGTGGTAGTAGTAGTCAAGTGCAACGACATTACTCGGGCGCTGTTTTCTCTCACAGTGCCGCGGCTATATAAAAATATATAAATGTAATATATAGTGAAAGTTCCGGTCGCAGTTGTCGTCGTCGTCGTCGAGTACGGCAGCTATATAAAATACGTATGTACCGCCGTCGCTGCAATTTTGCACGTTGCGACGTATTACTCTCACACAGACACACACGTGGAATAAACTACCTGCGTGTGTAATAATGGCACTATGTACTCACTTTTACACACACATACATACATACATACATCTACGTATATAGATAGATATGTATATACACAGCTCTGGCAGGAGAGAGAGAGAGAGAGAAAGCAAAAATTATCCTTTTCCCGCGTAGCGCGCGCGCCTCCGAAGGTACTGTATACAGTACTTTGCGCTTCCCAAGCCCGTGACCAATTATTATCGTCATCTTTAACGCCGCTGCTCCGAGCTACTGTACATAACATGTGTGTGTGTGTGTGTGTGTGTGTGTGTGTATGCGTGCTTATGTCGTCAAGTCGAGTAGCTCAAGTAGAGAGAGAGAGAGAGACATTTAACGAGCCTACACGCATACACACACACACACACACACACACACACACACACACATGCAGACGGTATTGCGCTCGTGTACTCGCACACACACGCGTATATACAAATTATACGAGAATGTGAGCGCGATTATGTTTATTACAAGTACATACACACACGTATATAATATATAAGCCGTGTACGAGGACGACGACGATGTACGTCAGCGGCTGTCGGCGGCGCGGCCAGAAGAGATCAGCTAGCTAGCATATATAGAGATGCGGCAGCCGAGATTACGCGGCTGTCCTTTTTATGGAATATATAGCCGTATATGCACGCGCGCCACACGGAGAGAGCTTTTTTTTTTCTCTACTTTACTCTCTTAAGCTTTTACACTACTTCCAGCTCCTTATCTAGCCTGTTCGAGGCCTGTGTGGTGGCTGCTTATTACGTGCGCGTCGAGCGATTATCGGGCATACATGTACGTACGAGGATTCTGGTTTTTTTTTTTTTTTTTTTGGATACGCGATGCGCATTTTCCGATCGCTGGCCTCTCTCTCGTCATCCCGAAGTAGAAAATCGCGCGTATTACGTGATCGCGAACCCGCCGCGCGAGTAAATTACTCCGAAATTTTCAGGAGGATTATATTATTACATTATTAAAAGTATACGACTGCTGCTATTGCTGCTGTTTGTCCCACAGGATTGGAAAGCTATAAGTCGTGATTTGTGTAATAATACTATACGTATAACGAAGCGCGCGGCGAGAGATAGAAGAGGTAAATATAAAAATCGTTGCGAGCTGCAGCCGTCGCTCGAGTCTTACATAGCTGCTGACCGCAAGATTGCCTAGCGAGAGACAGAGAGAGAGAGAGAGATAGAGATAGGAATTAGTCAGCCGAAAGTTCGTTCTTTTTTTTTTCCAAGAGCCGCGCGCTAAGACTATATATAGAGCTTTTTAATGCCGATGACTCGAGAGACCCCGCGACGACGACGACGACGATTATTATTAAGTTTGTGAGCGCGGCCCGCGTGGCGCGCGCGATCGTTTGCCGAAGAAAATCATAATAAACGAGTTGGTGGGAGAGAGAGAGAGATGAGGATAAAAAAAATATGACAAGCTTAGAGAGAGAGAAGGAATTATATCGCTCTATCCGAGGCTCTGGTGCGGTAATTTTCTCGTCGCATGTTAATGCGAAAAATAACGTTGAGAATAGAAATGTATATTTCCATTTTTACGACGTCGTTGACTCCGCGACTGACTTTTCTCTCTCTCTGCTCCGACTCGTTTATTACAATGTATAGATATACACGACAAATCGTTCCGTGCGAATATGCGATAATAATATATGTATAACGACGATCGACGAGAGAAACGAAGAACCACACCTGCGACGTGTACACACACACACGCGCATAATAATGCGTAATGTATGTCGCGGTCCCACAGCGGCTACATGTGCGTGCCCAGCAGCAGTGATATTATACATTTAAAAAAGCCTCTTTCCCGCCGCGCGACTCGCGTTATTATGCGCGTGCGATACACACAATATCGTAATCATATCAACGAGTCCAGGCACGATTTTCCCGGCTTATAAAACATTTTTATAATACATCTCGTTTACGCAGAGACTTTTGCAGCTACGTATCGATGATAAATTAGCGAGCAAAGGCGCGTTCGGATACGAGAGAGTCGCTCGTGCTACCGCGATTTATATTATTGCGAAAAAAAAGGTCGCCTTGGCTCGGTGTGCGCGTGTGCGTGCGTGTATATATATTTAATAAATATTTGCGCGCAGCTCGCGTATAATTAATAAGCAAACCCGTTTTGCCATCCTTCATTTATATGTATACATGGTGCGGTGTATTAACGTTTATAACGCGTGTGCGATATATATATATATGTATGTATGCGCGCGTAACGGGAAAAAACCCGAATCGTATGTATCGACGGAAAAAGGAGAGGAGAGAGAAATAAAAAAAAAAGGAGTCCGAGACTTGCCTAGAATGTGTAAGTCGTATTATGTATATTCGCGAGTAGACGCGAAAATGATCATCATCGTCGTACGAGCTCGTCGTGAAACTCGTCCCTCTCTACATCTACTCTCTGTGCATTTTATCGAGGTTATATACAGGAATGAAAAAAAGAAGAAGGAAAAAACGTGCACACACACGCGTGCGACATACGTACATCGACATGCATACGTATACGTATAGATTAGCTATATAGTATTTGCAATGTGTGCTTTACATAATCACAGAGAGGCGCATATATATACATCTACACTACACGAGAGAGAGAGAGACATGTATCGCGACTCACCTGTTGTTGTTCTCGTTGTGTGTGTGTGTGTGTGTGTGCGAACGTGTGGCGGAGTCGCTCTCAGGACACAATGGTCGATTTTCCGCGCCGCGCCACGATGTGTTCTGTTCCTCCTCCTCTGCACTTCTTCTTCGTCTTTTTTTCTTTTCTCTATTGTACACACCCGTTATAGCTGTGCAGTCGTTGCTTTTTTTCGCTGCCGTCTATCTCTTTCTCACTTTTTACGCGCGATAATTTATTCGCGCACTTACGTACACGCGTGCGAGCGTCTGTTTATGCACTCCCGTTTTTTTCTTCTCTCGCCTCTTTTTCACTTATTTTTCCTTCTCTCTTTTGTACTCGTGCTTTTGCGCTGTTGCAACGTAAACGCAAGCTTTTCACGCACTCAAATAAAAAAAAGAAATCGGCAAGCTGTCTTCTATCTCGGTGGGATTTTCAGTCTGCACTCGGCGCGTTGAGTAACAACGATTTCGTCATCGATCATCGTTTTCGCGCATCGTCAAACACTCGGTCAAGAGCACACTACCGACATTTCAACATCTCGCGGAGATCGGTATCAATTATTATTATTATCGTATGCACTCTCGCACGTCATGAAAACATATACACACAAGTAACACACATGGACAACACCAACTCGTGGAAACTCGCGCTCGCGCGCTACTTTGCGGCGCGCAGCATGTGATCGTAAGACGGATATCTGTGAGCGGACGACGTGCGCCCCTTGCGGACTCGTGCGAGTGACTGACTGGAAATCGCATCGCGAGCTCAAAGATCGGCGGCGGCGTGCGAAGCCCCGCGCGCTCAGTTGCAGCGGTGCCGCAGCCGGCTTAGCGGAGCCGCGCGCTTACTTTTACCACCTCCACCACCGTTGTTGCCGTCGACCACCACCACTCTTACTATACTTATACTATGTACTACGAGCGAGGCATGCGGTGCGCCGAGCTCGTTTTCTTTTTCTCTCGCGCTCGGAGCTTCTCTCTTAAAGAGCCAATGCCAGTGACCGTATGTATGTATATATGTATGCGACGATATGCTCGTCAGCGGATGTCGCGTAGCAATACCTATATAAGCCACTGCTACTATTACTATCTACTGCTATATACTATGCAATATGCAACGGGGCGACGTTCGGAGCAGCTCCGATCATACACGATATACATACACGTTTCACATCCTCTATATTCGCGCCGTGTATTTAATGAGACAAGTCGCACGACGACGACGACGTTGTGTTGCACTTTTATTGCATTTCGATTTTTCCTTTTCTTTTCTTTTCGTTTCTCTCACGAGCCAGCTCCAAACATCATTCTCGCTGTTGTTCGAATTGTCGTTTTCGTTGTCGCTGTCGTTGTTGCTGTTGCAGTTGTCCTTGTCGTCGTCCTCCTCCTCCTCGGCGTTCGGCGTTCGAAAGGTGCGAATATTGCCGCGCGCGCACAAAAGTTTCTGCTCGGTTGGAGGCGATGATTATCATCGAGGCAGATCTCTCGTATCCTCTCGACCGTCCAACTATACACATAGTGCACAAGTTGAAGTAGTAGTAGGAGGAGGAAGAAGATGAGGTTTTTCGCGCGTCCGATCTTTTTTTTTTTTTGCTCGTTCGCTCTCTGCGCCTCAGCTGCTGCTGCTGCAGAAAACGAGGCGTGGCCGGTTAAATCGTATACCAACGATTCGCGCAATATTATTATTATATATATATCTCGATGCGATGCCGGTCGTGTCCGCTATGATGTGGGTGCGAGGTGTTATTTGCACGAGAGAACGAGTATAAGACAGAGAGAGAGAGGAAGAGGAAGGAAGGAAATTGAAATTTCTTTTGTCGCTGCGCCTTAGCACAGAGAGAGAGAGAGTATATAATAATAACGACGGCGATGCGAAGGGCCTGCGCTTCGCTCAGGCTGCGGATCTATGTAATTTCTCGCCTCGAGATCCTATATATATACAGCGATATATATTGTTGCTGCTGACCGAACGATCGGCCCTTTTAAAAGAAATACAAATTAAAGATCTCGACCTGTGGTGGTGGTGGTGCTGCTGCTGCTGCTGTGGCTGACGGACGGATTTTGCGGTGCCAAGGGAGTGAGAGCAAAAGGTGCGAAAAAATATTTGGGCTTATTGCTAGCCTGGCCTGCTGCTCTTGCGACGAGCGACAAAAAAACAACAAAAAAGTATACATCCAATTCGTCACGGTGGGCTGAAGATCGGGCGAAAGGTAGCGATGTATAATACTTGGGAAGAAGGGAAAAAATATCTCATCGGCACTGGTGAAAAATTCGATCTCATTATCAACAATTTTTTTTCCGAATGCGCCACGATGAGGTTCCGATATATTGTAATGTAAATAAAGAGCAGAGCCTGCGAAACAGCGACACGAGCGCATCGAAGGCTCGTATAGTTCTAATTAGTCAGTAGCTGAGTAGTACAGTTAATTTAAATCAAGTTTTTCACTAATTACCATATACGCGCGTATGATACACAATTTGTCATTTGTTTACTGCGAATAAATAAAGTGATGTTAGTCAGCAAAAAAACAATATCGGATCACGCATTTGATTCATTATTCCTGCTGTACATCGTGACTCCAACTTATCCGCAATAACAATTGCGCAAAGTGTACGCGTTAATTGTTCAAATCAGAGATCACGACCGAAACGAATGATTTTAAACCCAATGTAGCAGCGAGATCGTCAATAATCAAAATTTTTTTTATCAGTGCGTAACGTACATATCGGAGTTAAGTTTCAAAGGGAACATTTATAATTATATACATAAAACGCGCGTGTGACTCATTGCCGCGGGTTGCCACTCGAGCACGAGATGTTCGGGCGTGAATCGTTCATCGCCCGATACGTCATTAAAGTCTCGTTACACAATCAGTAACTCTCGACGATTTTTTGACATTTTCAAAAAAAAAAAAAGAAGCAAAGTAAAGTAAGTAACGGAGTAAAAAAACACCAAAAAAAAGTTAATGTAATTTTAGACGGAAAAGTCCCAATATATATGTAAGATACATCTTTGCGTGGGAGGGTCTCGGCGCCGTGTATATAAGAACGAAAATACGCACGCGGCACCGTACTCTGCATGCGACTCTACTACCACTAGAGCTCCCGACTACAGAATCCGATACTTACCGCGTAATACGGGGAGCGTCTCTATTATGCTTATGGCACATGTCGCTTCCTTTTCTCGTTCGCGATTATGGAAAGATCTCTCTGCTGTGTCCCTCGAGTGCGTATCGGGTATAACATGCTAACGAGACCATCTTAGTGCGGTGAGAATCTTTTCGACTTTATATAACGACGATGATGGATCCCATTTGCAGCTGTGCGCGTAAGTGTGCACATGCATGTGTATAACGATTATCTACAAACAATTTTTGAGAGAGACGCGCGCAAGTGTCGCAGCCGGACATACGTGTATAATATACTTCGCGGGAAAGTTCAACTGGATAATCATCATCGTCCGCTTCCGATCGCAATTAAAAAATTTTTGTATTTATGGATATATACAGATTACGACGTGGTAACGAGGAATCGTGTCCGCCCATACGAAATTAGGTGTCGACTTTCGACCGATCATACAAGGATACATAATTTATTGTTCGCGCTTGCGTTTGGGTCGAAAATAGAAAAAAAAAAGCATCGCACAAAGGAAAAACAACTGTCCTTTTTTTTCTTCTCCTCTCCTCCTTCTTCTTTTCATACTCGTGCGGTTAATTGACTTTTTATATACGACTCTTGGCCTCGCGCCTATACCATAATACACTATACGCGTGTATACCTAAAACACGATCGTATCTTAACGGATTTTATTATATGGACGCGCATACGCGATATAATGCGCGTCGCATAACTGCTGCTCCTTCGCGACTTTCCGAGAACGAAGATATCAAAAAACTCTTTTCTACTTTTTTCCTCTCCTCCTTCCTTTTCGTCTTATATTATGCTTGCGCCTATAGTATAGTATCCAACTCTTTTCCTCTTATAAATCAATTTGTCGTGTATCTCTTGGCATATACGGTGGCGCGAGCAAAAGCAAAAATTATTTTATACTCGCTATATACCTTGGAGCCGCGCTAGGTGAATTATATGCGTAATACGCGCCGCGCGGCTCGTCATCCACCAGCTAGAGAGAAAGAAAATCACCTTCCGGGTATGCCTATTACAATATGCGCGCGCGTAAAAAAACTATTACGCATTATGTGTATATTCTCTCCCTCGTTATATCGCGCGATGCTCTCCTAGCTCCTAGCCCCTTGTAGCTGCACATTTTACGCATATAATATGAGGAATTGAACAAAAAAAAAAGGTATACAGGGAAAATGAAGCGAGACGCGGCGGACCTGCGCAGTTCCTCGAATCCTCGTTTTTTCGCGCTTTTTACACCCCGCGTTAAATATCGTAGCCATAATGCAATATATAGGTTCCCGATATTTCGTTTCGAATGAAAAAAGTCGCTGGTCGTCGTCGTCACCGTGTGCAGTAAAGGTTGCACTGCAACGAAAAATATTAAATGAAAAAGAAGCGTACAAGAAGAGAGGAAGAAATTATTATTGCCCGAGAGAGGTCCCTGCGCAAGTCGAGTCGAGGCGCGAGGTATGCAATTATATTATATACGACACGAGCGAGAGATGCAAGGGTAATTACCTGTACGTATACTGTCGTCGTCGTCGTCGTCGGCGGCTCTGTACAGCCGCGCGCCGGCAAAGGCGTTGATGCGACATCGTCGAAAGGATATATAATATTTAATACGCGTGCAGAGGTGGAGGAGGTAGGAGGAGGCCAACTATACGGGGCCGCTGCAGCACTCGAGTGTCGCGTACATTACGACGCGAGAATAAAGAGAAAAGCTCTGCGCTGCGCTCGGTTCGCGCGTATCCATAAAGACACTTTTGTCAGTCTGTGTGCGTATAATATCCGAGGTCAGGGACACATGCAGCACACGTATATATTCTGGAGAGAACTGCGCCTGTCCGGTTTTTGTTTTCTTCTCTCGCTTGCGTATACGATGTATATATAGACGTCTTTCTCTCTCTCTTTTCTGACCGTCCGGGAAAAATCGTGTAGCATTACATTCCGGCTTATTGCATATCCTATAAACACACACACAGGCGTATAATACCATGGGCGTCGCAAATAGGTACTTGCTTACGTTCGAGTGATAGTTTTCCGAAAAAGAGATAGATACACGGAGCCTTGGCTAAAAACAAAATTTCATCAGCGCGTACATATTACCTATACGTATAATATAAATCGGAGAAGGAAAGCAAAAAGATTCTTCCGATTCACCGAGAGACGTATCTATATATATTCACGAACCTGTGCGGTCATCGCGTGTCCGTGTATAATATAAAATAATATAGACAGACGGAGATATCTCGCTCGCGAGCGCGCGCCATCACGCATACGAATCGTACATTTAATCCCCCCCCCCAAAAAAAAGAAGGAGCAGATCGACGAAAAAACATATCAGAAACTCTAATTGGAAATTCTCCAAAAAGCAGCTCTATAAATCTCTATTCCCTCCCGACGATTTGTTCATTTATGTATGTGCGTGCGTGAGGCACGCAGAAGTCGCGATAGACGCACATACCGCGAGCGAGATCATCTTTTTAATATTCCCTCATTTTTGTTTTACGACGGCTATAAAAAAAAAAGTATAAAATAAAATAATAATAGAAAGAGAGAGTTAAGGTAAGAAAAAGAAAAAGA